AAAATTTGTTTCATAAGTTGGCTCTTGGGGATATTATAATGTGTTTACATTAAATCAATTGTTGTTCGTTGGTAATGGAATCAGTTGAGAACGACTTGACTGATTTGCATTATTTTTTTGTACAAACGTTCGTCATACGCCGAGTTTGTTTTTTAAAGAAAAAAATATTGACCACGCCTACTTTTACGCCCATTATTTCGATTTATCTAAAATCCTTATATTTGCCAAATAATGAAGATATCGGTTTTAAAATTATTACGCGACATACTGTTGACTTTGCCTCCAATCCTAAGTGTTTATTTGGGGCTAAAGAACTGACCACGCCTACTTTTTAATCTATATATAAACCAATTGTTCTTCGTTGGTATTTGAATCATTTGAGACCAGCTAAAAGTATTTGGATATTTTTTTTTAAATGTTCGTCCTACCACGATTTAGGTTTTTATGCTAAGAAAAAGTGACCACGCCCAATTTTGCGCCCATTTTTTCGATTTATCTAAAATCCTTATATTTTCCAAAATCATGAAGATATCTTTTATACAGTTAGTATACGACGTAATCTTGACTCTCCCTCCAACCCTAGGTATCTGTTTGGGGTCAGAGGAACTGGTCACACCTACTTCTTTAAATCTATATGTAAAAAATTTGAAAAAGTATAGTAACACATCAATTGAGAACGACTAAGCCGATTTGACTCACATTTTCTTTTGGTTATTTGTAATTACAGTGAAAACGTTTTCCTGAGAGAAAATGTTGAGAAAAGTCTCTATAAAAATAACGGAAATGAAAACATTGACTTTTCTATTTTTATATGGAGTTTTGTGTAGAATAGTTTCAAAATGCCTTTTGGAATTGAAAATTCTTATTGAAAAAAAAAACCGAAAATATCGAGAAATTTTGCATATTTTCTATAAATGCCGTTAAATGGTTGCTATACCAATGCTGCTATTTTCAATTTTGATTGAAAAATACTTTTCAAAGCATCAAAACAATAAAATTTTCAACGAACTTTTAAATTGAAGCTATGCCTAATGGGGACCAGTAGTAGCCAGTTGTCGGTATTGATTTCTCAATAACGAAAACTTTAAATGTCAATTTACAGATAATTCGGTAGAAATTGTAACAAAAACATGCAAAAGGACGAATTTTTAGTGGTATTATTATACCTAAACGAATCGGATATATTTTAACTTCCTAGGAATATTGTAGTTTAAAGATTAACCTAAATATTTCGCCTTTATTGCGATTTCAACGAACGAACGGCCGCATACACAATCGGGTATAGTTTAATTGACTGGTAAAAACTAAATACCATGATCTTCTAAAAGTTACGAATTCTTAAATTATTTTTGATTTGGAAAATATTGCTAAGACCTTTATAGTACTGATAACTGAGATTTGAAAACGACGAATATTAGAAGATAATATTATATGAGGGCTATATCTAAATGAGAATAAATATATACCTTTTGTAACATCAATCATCCTAACAATAATATAAAAACCTGTGCAAAGTTTGAAAGACGCATATTAAATTTGTTGACCTCTATCGTAATTGCAGATGGTGAACGAAGAGGCACACGGACATAATTTAATCAATAAAGATTTCTACTCTCAAATATACTTTATGGGGTCCCTAACTTTTATAAATCGATGATACTTTATTTATGATAGTTAAATTATAGTCATATTGCCATCATATTGGATTTCAATTTGGAAATTACTATCGATTCTGAGGTCCAAAACTCCAAGAAATTGATTGAGAACTTAAAATGCAAAATTCATTGGGACTGCAATCAGTGAAATGCCGAATATGAAGAGGCACTGTAATATGCGGGCTATACAAAAAAGTGGAGCGAATTTAAAATTAAGTAAGAAAGGGATTCATATCCTCGGAAAATTCTTCCGAACCTTTAAAAGTAACCTTAACACACATGTAATGCCAAATAAGGCAAAATCGATTGAAAATGTGACCAAGACCATGGCAATAGCTAAAATCCGGGAACCCCTTTTTTTGGGATTTTTATTTACCAGCCGAAAAATTTCCTAGCCCCAAGATTGTCTGCGACTCAGTGTAATTACTGACGATAGCGCACAGTGCCCGTATAACCTTACCTTTTCTTACTCTATTTTCAATTCACTCCACTATTTTATATAGTCCTCTTCATATTCGGTATTTCACTGGTTGAAGTCCCAATGAATTTTACATTTTGAGTTCTCATTGGATGGATTATTTCCATATCTTATCAAAATTGAAAATTTGAGTATGGCAACCATATAACAGCATATATAGAAAATATGCAAATTTTCTCGATTTTTTCGTTTTTTTTTTTTTTCAATAAGAATTTTCAATTCCAAAAGGCATTCTCAAACAATTCTACACAAAATTCCATATCATAATAAAACAGTCAATTTTTTCAGTTCCGCGATTTGTCTCAAAATGTTCTTTCTTGACAACGTTTCCACTGTAATTACAAATAACCAAAACAAACTTTGAGTCAAATCGGCCTAGCCGTTCTCAACTGTTGTGTTACTATATATTTTAAATTTTTTACATATAAATTTAAAGAAGTAGGTGGGCCATTCCTCTGACCCCAAACAGATGGCTAGGGTTGGAGGGAGAGTCAAGATTACGTCGTATACTAACTGTAGAACATATATCTTCATGATTTTGGCAAATATTAAGATTTTAGATAAATCGAAAAAACCTAAATCGGGGTAGGACGAACACTTAAAAAAAATATATCCAAATAGTTCCAGCCGGTCCAATTACCAACGAACAAAAATTGGTTTATAAATAGATTAAAAAGTAGGATTGGCCTGTTCCTCAGCCCCCAAATAAATACTTAGGATTAGAGGGAAGGTCAACAGTATGTCGTGTAATAATTTTTAAAACCTATGTATTCATTATTTGGCAAATATAAGGATTTTAGATAAATCGCAATAGTGGGCGTAAAACTAGGGGTGGTCAATATTTTTAAAAGCCTAACTCGGGGTATGACGAACGTTTGTAAAAAAATTATGGAAATCGGTTCAGCCGTTCTCAACTGATTCCATTACCAACGAACAACAATTGATTTTTATATATATAGATGTACCAGGTCCGTCTACATTGTGATATAGCCCCCCTCAAATGATATAGCGCCTTTCAAATTCCTTAAATGTTGCTAATTTGAGATTTTAGAAATAATACAAATAATTATAAGAATAGGACCATTCTATGGTATACCCCTTATATGAAGATATCCGCTGATTTCAGCTGTTTCCAGTGTCTTGCTCATATTTTTCAATTGATTTTACCTTTATTTGGCGTCTTAGCTTCTAAGGATGCAGAAGACCAGTTTGGGGAAATTTTTCAATGTCAATGTTTCGGAGAAGCGCCCATATAAAAGTACCTCCTCATTTTACCTATTTCGAGGGTTTTGATTATATTTTCGAATCGATTTGTCTTAGGCTGATTTGGGGGTAGAGAACCATTTTACATGGGGCTATTAAAAACAGTTAATATATACTTTTTAATATATGTAATTATTGTTTAGGTTTTTAACTCTCAAAGTTAAACCTCTGGGTGAAACATAGGATCAGGTTTTTTGAAACACTATAAATCGCCCGTTACGTGAACCTGTAATGACATTTTTGCGATGCATATTTAATTATATTTAGTCGAGACATCATTTATATTAAAAATTGTGTCAATTATGTGAGTCAGATCTGTGAATTATTATGCTTTAAAAACTATGCATTAAAGACTAAAACTACGGGCCGGCAACGCGGAACGGGCCAGCTAGTAATATTATAAAAATATAGATATTAATAATCAATAAAAATATAACATATGACCTGTTCCAGGACCTGCAAGAATCAACTAGTTTCGGAATTTTTTCGATAAAATAAAGAACACATCGGTTTCGTGCAATTCTGGAACAGGCCAATAATTAGCATAAATCATTCTGCAACATAAGCATAACAACACAAATATATGGTCTGCTCCAGAACTGCAACAATGTAAAAGTTTTTACTATGATAACCGATTTTCCCATTATGATATCGAAGAACAAAGCAATACACTACTCCGATTATCCAAATCGAATGGAGTTTCATCACATATGTAGCACAGAACGATGAAACCAAGGTAGGGTACTAAAACCAATAGATTTTTAATTTTTTTAAGATGTCAAATTAATTTGTGCACTTGTGTGTTCTTTTCAATAATATGAACATTTTTGAGAAAATATTCAATGTCAGTTGTGATAAAAACGTATGTACGGACATAAATTACCCTTTTCGTAGCGAAATAAATCTAGAAAAAAAAATAATTTGAAAGAAGTGTAGACATTTCTCTTTTTTTATTTATATTCAATTAACACAGTTGCCAAGCCCATAGGGCCGTGGACGGTTCCAAAAACCTCTACACATAACTATTCATTTATTCAATTTTCAAAAACAGTGAAACAAATTGTTTTGTTTATTTGCATTTGATTGATAGTAGTTCTGACATTACAATCCATTGATGCAGATTGTTCAGATATTACAACAATAATTCTTACATTATATTCGAAAAAAAAAAAACATTTAAAAGCCATTGAAAAATAGTCTTGCACTTTCTTGATCACTGAGTGAAAAGAAATAACTGAATAAATCGTACTGACGAACGTAACCAGGAACGAGTTTATTGTTCGAGTAAAGACAGAAATAAATAAAATACTCATTGGCATTGATGATAGCAAAAATTGACCATTAATGTTTCTTTGGCGTTTAATAGGTAATAAAGAGCTTAACATGACAAAAGAATGTATTTAAATAGCTGCCAATATTCTAAAACAAAAACTTGTTATATTGGTTGTACAGATGTGTTGTGATCTTTAACCAGTTGCAATATGAACAAATTTCAAAGAAACACGGTCTCCGCTCTCTTAATAAGTTATTTTTATTATACAAAAATATAATTACTTACATCTTTTTTGCTGAAAATCTAAATAAATTTCTAAATATTTTTTTAGGGATGAACTGGAGAGAAACCGTGCAAAAATTTTGGAAATCAATACCTTTTTAGACCTTGTAACCGAAAACTTACAAAATCTTCAACAGGAAGTTCAAGACGAATTGCAAAACAACGAAAATTAAGAATCATATATTTTTTTTAAATGCCTTTCATATTAAATAAATGCATAAAAAAACTCTAAAAAAAAAACTGTTTTCTTACACAGGTACTTAATAAATGTAAATAATTACTTCGTTTTAGCTTTCAGACTGTCCAAATAAATACCCAGGCCTTTTTGTACACTGGGTTGATTGACAAAAAATAAGAATGCTTCGAGGTCCTGGGCTTTTTCATCTTCCAACTGTTGTAAATCCTTAGACCTAAATTGTTGTTTGGTCATGGCCCGAGCAAAAGGGTTTGTTTTTGCAAAAGTTGCAAAAAATTGTTGGCATTTTTCTATAGCTTCTTCCTTTGATTGTGCCAATTCGTCGACTAATCCAACTTTAAGGGCTTCTTCGCTGCTGAACATTTTGCCCTGTGTCAAAGCCATTTCAGCCACGCGACGGGGCAAAACGTTACAGAAGGTGGCCATAAACCATTTGGGCGCCACAATGCCGAGTTTTGTTTCATTCAGTCCTATTGTAAATTTTGGCAACATAACTCGATATTCACAACTAGTGGCAAGAAGACAGCCTCCTGCTGGAGAGTGACCCTACAATAATATATGAATATGAATGTACCGATTACAAGAGTACAAAGCCATTGCCTACATTTATTGCTGCTGCTGTGGGAACGCTAGATCCATACAAGGCTAGCCATGTATCTTGCAATGTGGTCCAAAACTCCTTAAGTCTATCTTGGTTAGGTTTGTACATTTCCATAATATCCAAACCGGCAGAAAATACGCTACTGGAAGCCTATAAAATATTCATCAGTTACACCGTTCTCCCTTCTACTTAATGCATCCATTACCGAGGTCAAAATTAATCCGCGGCATTTGTTGCCCTCTATTTCATCGATGTCATTTCGAATGTCTCGTAAGAGTTCCAGATTCAAGCCATTAACCGGCAGGCGGTTCATTGTTAAAACAGCAACGCCACTTTTCTCATTTACATCAACAGTAGTTAATTTACCGGTGGACATGCACCGATAAATGTTGTTCTTGGTTGAACCATATCTGGTTAGTAAGTTCTTTGCAGCAGACATAATCATCGCCCTGTTCCTAAAACAATTCCCAATTACTAGTGGACTTTGACCAAATTCACAAGAGCAACAACACTTACATTTTAGCCGTTTGCAAGCAAGAGAGATTTCTATTGTGACGTAAATATCCGCACAATCAAACAAAACAGTTGCTAATGTTGCCAAGTATCAGCGATCTTAATGAGTTAGGGGAAAAGCGAAGATCAATACTCGATCCGTACTATTTGTTGTATAGAAGACCCTGGTTAATAAAAGAGATCAAAGTCTATATGAAGTCACCGGCGGCATAGTGGAGAGAATAGTTTCTGAATTTTACACAGTTTGTCGACTAATTGTTTCAATACAACACACGTGTGTTTGCCATGGCAGAAGAATACAGGTAGATGCATCAACGCTTGGGAGCATTGATATGTCAAAAAAATTTAAATGTATTTTTTCAAATATAAGTAGATTTTTTATACTTTCATATACTACGTCATTCGGAGGCTATTATAATTCGCGTTTTTTCAACAATTTTTACAAATTTAAATAATTTTTCATTCAACATTTTCAATTCCAAAATTGGTTTGACAGTTCATTGTCCAAGCAGCTGTGTCGACGCGTCTACCTATATTCTTCTACCATGTGTGTTTGCCTTTTAAATTTTGAAAAATAATCTCATGGTACAATGAAATAAAGGTAACCTTATTTCAAATTAGCATTCCCAGCTCTGCATTTTCTGTAACACTGCCTTTACACTGTCCAATTTTTAGCTGGCATGTTTATCAATTCTCTTTTAAAATTTCTGCGTAAATCTTCGCGCCTTTACACGGTGGCATTTTATGACATTAGTGCTTGGCATTTTTCTGACATTTTATTTTATTCAGTATTTCGTATAGAGCTGTATTGTTGTGCTAATTGTTTGTAACAGATATTTATAAAGAAGTGATTTAAAATTAAATGTGTGAATCTAAATAAGAAATGATGGAAAATGTTATTGTCGATCTGGTCCACATATTTATAAAAATTATTGACTTTTATTTTATCTTTCTTTTTTTACTTTTTAAAACTTCCAATTAATTTTCATATAATACACTATACAATTCAATCACTAAACACATCACAATAAAAGAAACGCATCAAAAATTACAATAAAGAAACGATATGAAATGTCAAAATCATAAAAAATTCGGAAGAAGCAAAAAGAGAAATGCAAAGAAAATGGCATGTAACCCTGTGCGGTGGCTTATCGTGCCATTTTTTCTTCTATCTACACATTTTACCAACAAAAAAAATGGCATGGTTAAAAAATGTCACCGTGTAAAGGCAGTGTAATTTACCTTGTCACATTTTAAGGCATAAAAAACAATTTCCATCTCTCATTTTGTGTGTATACCATGGCAGAAGAATACAGGTAGATGCATCAACGCTTGGGAGTATTGATATGTCAGAAAAATTTAAATGTTTTTTCAAATATAAGTACATTTTTAAATGTTTTCTTATACGACGTCATTCGGAGGTTATTATAATTCGCGTATATCAACAATTTTTAGAAATTTAAATAATTTATCATTCAACATTTTCAATTCCAAAATTGGTTTGACAGTTCATTGTCCCAGCAGCTGTGTCGATGCGTCTACCTATATTCTTCTACCATGGTGTATACAATAGATTTATGAATATAGATTTTGACAATGAAATGTTGTCAAATGTATTAATTTGAAAAAATTGCAAACATATGATTACATGACTTTACCCAATTTCAATTTTGAAGGAAAGAGAAGAAATTTTATAATGGTGAATATTAGGAAATAGACATCCACGAGAACTATATTTGTACTAACTGCCTCTAGATATTGATAAATGGAATGATTGGGGGTTGTCTTTATGCGTGTGATCCGTGACTACACTTATGTATGCATTTATAAAAATGTTAACTCAATGAAGGTATTGGACTTAGTTGGTCCTCCAATATACGTTTTTTACAATGGTAAAATAAAGAAGGAAAGGCCATTTCCACAAAGCATTTCCATCTTTGCCTTTTCTGTCATTTACATTCTCAAACTTCGCTGCATAGAAAGAAAAAATGTTAACTCAATGAAGGTATTGGACTTAGTTGGTCCTCCAATATACGTTTTTTACAATGGTAAAATAAAGAAGGCAAGGCCATTTCCAAAAAGCATTCCCATCTTTGCCTTTTCTGTCATTTACATTCTCAAACTTCGCTGCATAGAAAGCGTGTTCCCATCACTAATTTGTGTAATGGATTCATAAATATACATTTTGACAATGAGATGTTGTCAAATTATTAATTTTTAAAAAATTGTAAACATATGATTGCATGACTTTACCTTCTTAATTCTACCATGTACAAACCATATAACCAGGTATGTCACAAGAATTAATTCGGTATGAAAGTGATTTTAATTTCGTATTTAGCTTCTTCAGAAAATGTAAATCGCAACATTTTTTCGACTTGAAGCCACTTTGGTTTTTTGCAAGTGAAATTGTATTTTTATGGAAACTTGTGACTTTAAAAAACCCTCATAATACTTTTAAGTATTAAAAAATGTTGTCTTAACGACAAATACACAATTAAATTTACATTTTTAACTTTTTATTCAAAATAATTAGCTAATCTCAATTGACGAAGACAATTGTTAACAAAATTTGCCACATTATGTTTTTCTTGAAAATTGCTTTTTTCTTCAAACAAAAATTATTCATCTTTGAAAAACAAACAATGTGGTATTGCGAATAATGAACCGAAGCAAAGCAAAAACAAAAAATGTATCTAAAAATATGTGAAATATGAAATGCTGTTTAATCAATTTATCAATAATTAATATTTTTGGCGCAGGCACATGAATTCAGCACAAGAAAACATTTTCATCGAGTTTATGGAGAGCCACCAGGACCTAGCGAGGGGCTATGTCAATGGTGATCGAGTGGTTGCCGAAACAAGTTGGTCACAACTTACCGGAAAAAAACTAAATTCCTCGGGACCACCCACCACACATATAAAAAAGAAAAATGCAAAAACTGGTTGCGGAATCATTTTATTTTTTTTACAAACTGCTGGACAACGAATGTTTTCTCATCGAAGAAAACCAAATTCGGCAGTTCACCACTTTCGGCCAAGCGAAGCAGTTCTTTAGCTCTTCTGAGTCTATTTTCTTTCTGTCAATGGCTTTACCCCGAGCTCCTTTTTCAATATTTGCCGAATTGAATGGAGTTCTTTACTTTTCGAACCATTTCTGCTGATGTTGCTGTTTTCTTCGATCCACTTCGGGCTACGCTACCAGTTTCACGGCGACGAGCGATGGTACGAGACACAAAAGATTTATTCACATTTAAATGTTGGAGTGCTCTAACGATAGCCACTTGTGGTTTTCCAGCCAAATATAAAGAAATCACACAATCACGCTTGAATTCCATTAGAAACAACTTTTTTCTTGAAAATTCTCACCAAAATGCTTTTGTACGTTTGCAAACAATAAATTACGCTGTCACTGGAATAATTTTAAGAGCTGTCGGACGAGTAACTTAGAAATGACTGCAGTCTGAAGTTGGTTGCAGTTTTTTCATCTTATCTCATTCATCTCTCGTCATTACGTTATAAAAGTTTTTGTTAATATGTACATCAGAACTTTATAAAAACTTTCTTCCGAATTCGGGCTGGTAAAAATCAGAAATGCGCACGATATTACTCCCACAGCTCTAACATCCCTTTCGGATCTCTAATGGATATATTGCGAATTCGGTCCGACTTCGGTTCGAAATTCGGTTAAAACTTCAGGCTTTCATTCAACCTTTCGGACCGACACCACTCCAACTTTCGGTCAGAAGTCGGACCGAATTCGCATTCAAAATCAGAAGTTTCTTGCTATTTTCCGTTCGAAGCCAAAACGAACTCGGACAGTTTGGTACGCTAAGCATATATACCGTTTTGTATATGTATTGCTGGGAATAATTTTCATATATGCAGCTTTTGACAGAATACATGTTATGAACTCGACATTGTGAAAAATCTTTGACGTTCCGTTTTTCATTTTAAATTTAAACATTTCTATGAAAACTTTCAAAAAATCAAAAATTTGCTGTATTTGTAATTAGTGAATTTGAAGTAACAAGATTCTAGCCGCAAAGTTAAGGTGAGAATACATAAACTGCTGTTTTGCTAATTGGGTTATATTTATACTTGTTAAATCTTCTCTCCTTTGTTCCAGTCAAAAAAGCGTTATATGCATTTTCACCTTAATGTTTTTTAAAATTTAATCAATCTCCCCCTGTAAATAATAATAATAATAAACTCATCTATCATTTTCAAATAATTTTAAAATTATATCCCTCATTTAACTCATTTTCAAAATGGGGGAAATCATGGCACAATTACAGGAGGTAGCACCAAGCTACCTCCTAACTTTTTTTTCTTTTAGTGCCCCTATTCTGTCAAAACATATACACAGGTTGTATATGTGCGTGTATTGTTCAAGAAAGAAAATAATTTGAAACTATTTCAAATTCAGTTGCAACAGATGTACATATTGTCCACATTAATGAGCAACAAAATGTATAATTTTGGGATAAAACAATATTGTCCCCCTATTTTGGATTCAGTTTTGAGGAAAAACCTCAATATACCATTCATATAGTAATATTGTGAAAAAAATGTAAAGTAAGCAAAACCAATTGTTGCATGTTTAAAATTCTATTTGACTCCAGTACAGGTTTGATTTTTTTCTAGTTTTTTTTTTTTTTAAGTTGAGGTTCAGGAAACTTGTTTTAAAGCGCGTTCTGATTGTTTTGAATTTTAAATATCAATGATTGGAAGAATCGTGCATTGTGGAGCGCATTGGAAATATTAACCAGTTTCGCCATGGAATCGAAACATTGAACTGTTTAGGTAATCAAAATTCGCGGTTTTTACTGTATTTTAAAATTGAGAATATATATCAATTATCCTTTTTATTACGTTTATTGGAGAAATCTTCTGACTTTCGGGACAAAACAATGGTTAATGTTGTGAAAAATCTTGTCATTCCATTCAATTTTCGGCAGATTTTCTAAATTTTATAAATTTTTGAAAAGTAGTTTTCGGCATAGTAATGAACATGTGATGAGGTGCGTCGTTTTTTAAGAATCCACATCAGCAATTTAAATGTCATTTTGACATTTTAATTTTACCACTAGATGTCACTCCAGCCATTAATGTGTACTTGGCAATCCTGGTTACACGTCACATCAGTTTTTTGACAGACAATTGCTTTCGTATTTTCATTCGTCGTTTGTCAACTATCATCTGCATAACGCGCTCGCTTTCACTTCGGGCTGTTAGACTGCTGTCGTTAAGCTTAAAAAGTCTGTATTTTTCTGTTCATAACTAAAATAAAATGGGCTCATCCGATAAGAAACAACAGAAAGTTCAATCCTCCGGATTTACCAAGGAAGAAGAGCTGTTACTCCAAGATTTCAGCCGCAATGTGAGCACAAAATCATCGGCACTTTTCTATGGCAATGCCTTCATCATCTCCGCCATCCCCATATGTAAGTATATGACACGTCGACTGGCTAGTGCGGCAGAGTTTTGATTGTTTATTTTTTTCGTAGGGCTTTTCTGGCGTGTCCACAACATGGACTTGTTGTCCAGTGCCATCTTCTTCATTCTTATGACTGGTGCAAGCACCTACCTAATGGCAATGGCCTATAAGAACATTAAATTCCAACTGAAGCACAAGATTGCCGTGCGCCGCGAAGCTGCTGTTACCCGTGAGATTAACCGTCAAATGGGCGACGATAAAAAAGTGACCCGTAAAGAAAAGGAAGAGCGCATCTTGTGGAAAAAGAACGAAGTAGCTGACTATGAGGCCACCACCTATTCCATCTTCTACAACAATGCCCTGTTTTTGGCCATCACCATCTTCATTAGCTTTTTCTTGTTGAAGAACTCTGCTCCTTTGGTGAACTACTTCTTCTCCATTGGCCTGGCTAGTGGAGCCTTGGCACTTTTCTCCACCAGCACGCAATCCAATTAAGCGACGTGTCGATGTAGACTTTAGTTATAAATTTAATATGTAGAGATTATCATGCTGAAGTTCGGTCCTTTTTTTACCCTGTTGCTATTAAATTAAATCATTCATTTTTTGTATTACGAAGCATGTACTTTCATAAGAACGTAATTCCATGTTTTTGCCTGTGGCAAGAACCAAGTGAACTGTACTGAAATATTTCTTCTAAGGAGAACACGAATAAAATGACAAAATCACAAACAAAATAAATTGTTGAGCAATATTCTTCGGTGGAGACAATCGTGAAAGATGTGTAATGATTTAGGTACATTAGATTGTTAAACTGCAGCAAAAAAAGAAGAGGGGAAATTAAGTTAGGCCGGGCGAACCATACCCTCCACCTAAGGGTAAAGGAGACATTAGAACCCATTATGACCCATAAATACCAATTTTGGACATATTCATGGGAAAATGTGCCTATACAAAAATGTGAACCTATACATACTATGTTTCTCCAAAGGAGCTAAAACCCATTAGGACCAACAAATGCCAATTTTTAGACAAATACGTGAAAAAATATGTGGCAAAAATAATCAAAATACCGAATATCGGGAGGCACCGTTGTATGGGGGCTATACCAAAGCGTGGACCTTTACATACACAAACTAGAACCCATTATGACCTACAAATACCAATTTTCAGACAAATCCGTGAAAAATGTAGCAAAAATCATCAAATACCGAATATCGGGATGTACCGTTATATGGGGACTATACCAAACATATCTCATTTTCAATACCAACCATCCTAGACACAATTCAAATTGTTCTGCTAAATTTTGACGCTCTACGTTAAATAATGTGGGCTTTATCGTGGTTTCATCAGACAGACCGACATCGCTAAATCGACTTAGAATTTTATGCTGATTATGAGTATATATACTTTATGGGGTCTACGACGAGTATTTAGGGATGTTACAAACGGAATGACAAAGTTAATATACCCTCCTTTCCAAGGTGGAGGGTATAACAACTCAACTTGCAAGTAAAACGCTCGTCATGTGAATGTGATATAGTGTGTCAGCTAAGTTTAAATTTGGTCAACATTCACAGATATAGGAGGAATTATTTAGATCGAATATTAATCCCAATAAAGGAAGTAATTAAAATTTTTCGGGCGGGTTACTGATATTTTGGAGTGAAAGTCCGGTTAAAACGGCTATGGAGACAGTATCTGTTATTGGAAAACTATATGAAACTAGCTGGCCCGGTCCGCGTTGCCGGCCCGTAGTTTTAGTCTTTAATGCAAATTTTGCATAGCATAATATTTCACAAATCTAGCTCATAAAGGTAGAAATAAATAACTATGGAAGGAGGGCAAAATAATTTCTGAATAGTCAAAGTTAATTACGCTTTTACACCCATTACCATAGCACCTTAAATTGCGCATTAGAGTCCCCAAAAAGTCTATGTTCTTGTTCATAGAAAAATTCAATGACGATTAAGCAATACCCGCGTTGTTGTCCCTCAATCGGTAAACATCACTATAGATCGGCGGGCCTGGGGACTATATGGGGACTGTACCAAAATATTTACGTATGTTGACATTTTTCTGTAAGATGGTTCTCTACTCACAAAGTAGCCTAAATACAGCAAATAATAGCCAAAATAGTTGAAAAATCAGGGATACATTTATATAAGGGTTATACCAAAACGTGACCCAACCAATATTCTCTTGGGGGTTACAAATTCAATAGAAAACAAAATTTTCTTTTCTGACCACCAATTAGATGTGAAAGTGGACTTGGGGATACTCCAATATGGGGACTTTACTTAAATAAATTCCTATGTGGCAATTATCTGTATGGTGGTTCCCTACCCCAGAGTAGCATAAATACAATTATTAACCAAATCAATTAATGAATGTGGTCAAGACCAAAATGGGCCCTACTCTGAAAATTTCAATCTTTATGCGAAAAGGTTCTCTACCTCCTAAGAAACAAAGATGCCAAATAATGGCCAAAATATTTAAAAAGTGACCAAGACACCAAAAATAGCTTAAATCATACGATGGTTATATAAATATGAAATCGGGTTGTACCCTTATCCGTGAGTTATGATCGATATCATGACCTGCAAAAGCGATTTAAGGTATCTTGAATGTTTGGGAAGATTTTCTGGAAGGATAGAAATCCTTTTCTTACTAAGAGTCCCATTCGCTCTACTATTTTCCACCCTTCATATTTGATATTTTTCTGATTGTACATTGGACGGATTATTGTGACAGGAAAGAAGTAGTTCCACGCTTTGAAATGAGCCCCATTAGGCTTTTTCGGTAATTTTTGTTTGTTCAAATGTGTTCACATCTTCCAGCTGAACCACGATGTCGGCCCTGGAGTTGAAAGGTAGATGTCAGTTAACATCTTATTTCCCACTTATTTCATTTTTTGGTGAAAATTTGTATATAGTTAAAAATTATTCTTTATTTTGTTCACAAAAAATTTACTGAATTCAATTAGATAATACAAATTGAAAAAAATTGACAAAAGAAGAATAACACAATGAAAAAATCTTCAACTTGTTCGCTGATTTTTTACAGCAAATGTTTAAAGATCCTTATATAGTTTGTCAATAGAATGTACTTCTATTTTAAAATTCGATTCCATTAAATTATTTCGACATCATCTATTCCGTTTCGCCACCACATAATTCGGTACTACACTTCCATGTAACTCGCCATCAATTTCATTTCTCAAGAAATCAAGTCAATTAAATAAATTGGTATTAATATTTGAATTCCAAAATAAAATATAAAAAACACTACAAATGTACATTAGAAAAAAGTAAGTCAAAATGGAAAAAAAAATCATGCAAAATAAAACATTACTATTGTACATTTCAAAAGTCAAAATGAAAATGTTAGTATATCACATTTTTACGCGATTTTTTTGGATATTATCCTTTTCGGAGAGAAGACAATTCCGAATTTGTATGAATCGTTAAAATCAGTCTAGCGGTTCTTAAGTTATAAGCGTAGTAACTAACACAACTTTCTTTTATATAATAGAGATAGATATAGATTAAAAAGTACTGACAACGACAGTTCCTCAGCCCCAAATAAATACTTAGAGGGGGATGAAAAGTCAACAGTATCTCGTGTAATAATTTTCAAACCGATATCTCCTCTATATTGGCAAATATAAGGATTTTAGATAAATCAAAATTGTGGGCGCAAAAGTGGGCGTGGTCTATATTGTTTTTCTTTAAAAACCTAACTCGGGGTATGACGAAAGTTTTTACAAAAAATTATGCAAATCGGTCCAGCCGTTTTCAACTGATTCCGTTACCAACAAACAACAATTGATTTTAATATATATAGATATATCGAAGTAATTATATCAGTATTTAGCATAGTATTTCGAGAAAATATACAGTTTTTAAATCATAAACTCTAAAAATTGTAAATTACGTTTAAACATGGTCTTTGCAAGCTCGTTTGTCTAGGAAATTGCGTGAAAAAATAAGTAGTCTTCAAATATCTCTTCTTCTCCATGCCGATTAGTGGAACTATGGCATGATTTATCAAAATAATTAGAAGAAAACCCCGGATATACTGAACATGTACAGGGCGAAGAATTCGTGCTTAAATTAACATATCTTGACGACATTTTTTCCAAGCTAAACTTGTATCTGTAAAGTTCAAACGAATCCAATATTTTTGCTGTTAACGATAAAACTCGCGCGTTCACGAAAAAGCTACGTTCTTTATATAAAGGGCACGCTATATCACTTGAAACCCATAAAATTGTTAAGAACCAAGTGCAGCCACAGTTTAACGCATTTTCTGCAATTGTTACACATTTATAATTGAAAACTCGAATTGAATATGAAACTCAATTCTGGGCTAACTACCAACTAACAACTACGTCGACATAAGCAAGTGAAGAGCTCATTGATCTATCGGAAGATATGTCACTAAATAAAATAGTTCTAATCGCGAACAATTAACGAAGTTTTGGCTCTCCGTTCTCGGGAAGTATCCTTGTCTGCTTGATGAAGCTACGAAAGTCTTCCTTCCCTTACTACTTCAAAGCTATGTGAGGCCAGATTTTCGGCTATGGTCAGTGTAAAAACTAAATACCAAAATTTATCGGATGCACTACACTCACTACGACCTAATGTTACAGTTTCCAATTTTGGAAATTAGTCTTTTGAATAAAGAATTAATGGAATTATGTTCATAACACTTTCGAATACTCGAAAACAAACAACTCACGGGCTTGTGCAGAGTTGTCAAAGATGCTATATATTTTTTTATTTTTTTAACTTTTCACTAGTATATTTGTTTTCATCATTTATGTTTTAGGCATCATCATTAACTGGATGAGATTAGTACATGATTTTAATTGTCTTTTTAATATAGTTTTCATTGATCCTCCATTGGTAAGACTTTTAGTTATACAATATTCAAAGCAATTTTTCGAAGAAAGCTGCCAAAATTACGAAAACTAGTAAACAGAATATGAGAAAAGTAAAAGCATGCTGTATATGTGAAAAATGAAAAAATGTCAAAACATTTTGATAATTAAGTTTTTTATTTTTTTTTTTATTAAAGTATAAAATTTAGTTTATTTCATGAAATTCCTTTATTTGTTGCCTTTGTTGTGTTTGCGGCAAACACAACTTAGACGGCGATTAAATATACTAATTGATGATTTTTATTTTGCATTTAAAGTTTTGAGAAATATTTTAAATTTCTTTTAGCGAAGATGATATTTTTTCAAAAACCGGCATTGCTATTTTTTTTTGTAGCGAGTAAACAAATTAGATGTACATTTATCTTCCTGTTTCGGTATAAAACTACGGTTATAGAACAGATACATATATATGTAATAATCATAGCATAAAATATGTTATCGTGTTTAAGAATCATACTTCACATTGTTTTTTTTTAGTATTTGCTTTTCTCATTTTAAATTCAAAAGAAATTTGCAGCAACTAGAATTATACAAGTCCTTATTTATTCTTATTTTTTATCAAAAAATTTATTTCTTGTTTGTTGTAGCTGTTGGTTGGTACGTATTTTCTTAAGAACAAAAATAAAATGAACTTACTACACACAAAATACACGCTCTACTTGTCAAGAGCTGTATTAGTCTTAATGGCAATAACGCATTCTTCGCCGCAAGACTTAAGGACAGTGCACAAAAGATCTTTGCCATTATCGAAGTCGGTTCTCAAGGAATTACCCACGTCACCTTCTGGCAATTTAAGATCTTCTCTGAATTCACCGTTGTCATACATCAAAGTCAAGTATCCGTCATCACTGATATCGATCAATTGATAATCTTCTCTCTTAACATGAGGGACATCCATATTGTGAGTGGAGGGACAGATATCTTCATACTTGTTATTTGTGAAGATATCAATTCCGACCAAATGGACTTTAGCATGACCGTGTTTGCCTGTTTTGGATGTAGACATTTCAACGATTTTACAGGGTCTACCCTTGAGCATTACAAAACCGTTTTTACGCAATGCGAAACATAGCATAGGGAAAGTCTGAGAAGCACCAGAATCTCCGGTTTCGAAGTGATGATCATCAATTTCAGCCACTTTAACAAAGTTCAAGTTTAGACCCTGGTTTCAAAAAGGAATAATATGTGATTTTAACCTTGTCGTAACCAAACCGATATTCGGTATGTTGATAATCAAATTGGGCATTTAAGAAGATTTAGGAGAATACAATTCTTGCAGTATAAAATTGTCTATGAAGGTTCCCCTTTTGGTGTGGCCCCCATACAAAGGCAACTCCCACTTTATGGTTTTTAACAGTTTAACAGCATTATCCAACGGTCATACTGGTATTTGTAGTTTAAAGTGGAACACGTTTGAATTTACATACTTTTATATAAAAATTATGTCTTTACCCAAAGGTACCCATTACCCAAAGGTACCCATTACCCAAAGGTTACCCATTTTCAAGTGGCTAAGGCTAAACATGCATATATTTTTTAACATTTGGCTGGGAAATCAGCGATAACCCACAAATGTAATAAATTATATTTTAGAAATTTGTGAATTGAATATTATTGGCAAGTATTTTATGACCATGAAGAAGCTAACTAATAGCATTTATGCACACGCTAGCCTAAAGCGGCTTAGGAACAAAGGATCGAAAAACATATTTCAAACAGTTAAAGGTGTTTGTGACTCAAAACAGAGTCAGAGTAGATTCTTCTGATCCGTCCTTATCACCTACATATTTAAATGAGTATGGAAAATATAAAAGTCATGCTGGGCTGACAATATGATACCCTACATCACTGTGCATACTTAGTAGAGCTTCTAGTAATAAATAATTATTTGAAATAAATAATGTCAACAATGATCTTTTTGAAAGCCCAATACGGTTTGAAATCGAATGAAATATTTATATATATGGAAGCTTTATATTAATCTGAATCGTTTTACACTTAATTTAAAGAATGGCAACCCTGTTGTGATTCGTGTCAAAAACTTGTGGTGCTCCGTGCCATGGTACAAAGAAGAGAAGGTAGGTCAACTTTGAAAAAATTGCAAGTATAGAGGTCAAAACAATAACAAAATCAAACAACTTGTTGCATTTATTTTGAATAAATAATTGAAAACCGCGAAAACTGAATGAAAGGTCAACACTTCTTTTCAAAACCAGGTTCTATATATCTCTAAAGGATTATTTCGCTACAAAAACTCTAGATTTTGTCGATGCATACGATGAAATAAACATTTTGAAAACATCCGAATTTGAATGTTTTCTGAACAATTTTTTTGTTATTGAAAAGAAAACACATACATAAACAAATAAAGATTACATATTAAGCCAAGAAAATAAAAAAATTGAAATCATTTGGTATCATAGCCCTACCTTGATATCATTGTACCATGCTCCGTGCTTTTGAAAAAAAATATTAATTATATCTTTTATTAAATTAATTAATTTGATAAAAAATGTCTAAAAGCGTTGAATATTGATTTTGCAATTCATAGTGATAATTGGTGTAGTGCTTTAAAGCTTGTTTTGTGTTTAAACTAATATTCAATTTTCAAATTGTGTAGTTTTACATTCTACTCTTTATCCTGTTTCTTTTGTTACATTAGCTAATTAGTTGTTGTAACATATCATCTTGTTTAGTTTGTCATCTCAAAAAGTTGCCAACAATAAAAAAAAAGAAATTAAAGAAAATAAATTAAATAAAAAAATCCAGCTACAGACCTGATCTTTAAAATATAGTTGTAACTTGCATACTTAATATTTTCTTGCATAATTAAAAAAGAAATAATTATAATTAAAATAAATAAAATGTCGTGCCCTTTTGAATTGTGTAATATTGTTGCAGAGGATGAATTGTGTGTTACCTGTTGTTTTTCAATGGCTTGCTGTGCTAGGATTAATGCAAAAGTCGTAGACACAACAAGAAATAATGTTGGTGTTCGTTGGTGTTGTGTGCAATGTAGGAAACTCTCTGCAGATTTTTATAATTTTGTAAAGGATTTGCAGTCGAAATTGACAGCGATAAAAAGCGATCTGCATTTTCAGAAAGTAGATCTTCTTTCAAAATCGTTGTGCCTGAAAATATTTTTGTAGGTCGATTTTAAAAGAATTTTGGCATGCTAATGCTAATTTATTAAATAATTTTTGGAGAGATCTAATAATTTAGCTCATTTGCCTCTAAGACCAGATTCGGTTCCAAAAAACTAAATGACTCATTTTCTATTTGCTATCAGAACGTAAGGGACCTTAATACAAAATTAACCAGTTTATTTACTGATAGCATTGGTTTCTATTATAATGTATTGTTTTTTTTTTCCGAAACTTGGTTAAAAACATCTATATTAAATAGTGAATCAAATATTTATAAAAGATCGTGTTTGTAAAAACACACCACTAATTTTATTGATCTAAATGATTTTCTTGATATAGAATTCATTGGTGTTTCCATTGACATTTATAATCAGCATTTATAACTTTCCTACTTTTTGGAATATTATATATATACCTTTACATAAGTCTGGTAGTCTTACTAATGTGTCAAATTATAGAGGTATTGCAAAACTAAGTGTCATTCCAAAATTGTTCAAAAAATTAATTACTGCAGAAATTTCACTGAAAATTCAATCTATATTGAGGCCATATCAGCATGGTTTTCGTAGTGGTCTTTCAACTACAACAAATCTTATACCATTTACGTCAACAGCAATAAAATGATTTGTTCAGCGTAAACAAACTGATACAATTTATACTGATTTTGTAAAGCTTTTGATAGGGTTAACCATGAGCTCCTAATATATAAATTAAATTATATGGGTTTCAACACAAACTTAGTCAAATGGATATCATCTTACAAGATAGGTCGCAATTAGTTTTGTTTGAAGGGTATCTATCCAAAACGATTAACGTTCCATCGGATGTTCCGCGAGGAAGTCACCTTGGGCCGGTCCTCTTTCTTTTATTTATCAACGATTTACCCAATTCCATAAATTACTCGAAATTGTTAATGTACGCAGATGATGTTAAATTATTCATTTCCCATAATTGTGAGAAACAAGCTAGTTTACTTCAAAACGATTTAGATAGCCTTTTTCAATGGTGCAGGTTAAATTGTATGGAATTAAAGTTAAGCAAATGTAAGCATATGTGCTTCTCCAGATCTTCTTCTCTGATATTGCAATATAATATCGATCTTGGCCTCTTAATGGATGCAAAATTAAATTTTAATAGCCATGTAATAGCAATGGTAAATAAAGCAAATGGGGTTTTAGGTTTTGTCAAACGGTGGGCCAAAGAATTTTATGATCCATATATAACAAAACAGTTATTTACGTCTCTTGTCAGACCTATATTAGAATACGGTTCTGTTGTATGGGGTCCTCAATATGCAATATACTCAGACAAAATAGAATCCGCGCAAAAACAATTTCTGCTATTTGCCTTACGAGGTTTACATTGGAATAGTGATTTTGTTTTGCCTTCCTATGTTAGCAGGCTAAAATTATTTAGATTACCAACACTTAAAAGCAGACGTATTATCTTGAACTCCATGTTTGTACTAATAATAGTATATGGTAATAAACCTTCAGATTTCCTAATCTCATCTATTAGAATTTTACCAATTTAAATTTTTTACCAATTACAAATTTTTATGTACCGATTTTCACCGCAAGAATTATTCAATGGGCGAACCTCTTAGTAAAATGTGTGTTGACTTGAATTCTGTGTACTCTAATGTAGATTTTGGTAAGAGTTTAGAAGTTATTAAATCTAGAATAATTTTATTTTTAAACAATTAAAATACATGTTTTATTATTTGACAAACTAGCTGATGAATTAGATACTGTAGCTGGTTTTTAATTCTCTACTTAAATCGTATGATGCAACACACAACCTAATTAGACAAAATTAGAACGATTGGTGTGTCATTTACAAAAAATTGAGGGAATATGCGTGGGAGCTATATATAAATCTGAACCGATTTCGACCAAAATTGTCAAAAGCATTTCTAAGTGGTAACGGATACCACGTAACTAATATGATTGTTATATAGTTCATATTACGACTCTGAAATTCCTAAATCTCTAATCGAATGAAAGTTAAAGATGTTGTTCTCATCAGAACCAGTACCTAAAAACGAACTTTGGGAGGACGACCTCGTCCCTGTGATGTTTTGCCTCAAAACCATGCTGTTGGCCAATAGTGCAATGCTTCAAAAAACCCGAAATGTTGCTAAATGTATGCAAAGGTCTCTGATCATTTGATACGCACAAAATGTGCTTCAAAAAAAAAAAAAAAAAGGATTGTAGAACCAATGTTTGATTGGTCAAAATTATTTTCAGGACCCTTGTGGCGATTAAGTCCAAATGTAGCACGCGGTTATTTGTTTATCAAACATAGATCAAGTTCAACGATGGCCAATATCCGTCTAACCCTTCCTATTTATTAACCAGGGATATGAGTTAAAATATTGAAGTCACTCAATTCTAAAATTTTAAAAATATGAAATGTAGGATTTTTGTCAGTGAAAAATTGTTCGATAATAAAAGGTAAGTAAAATTTACGCGATGACCTCGAAAAATACGGAAATAATCGAGTGTAATTCGAATGTAATTGACTATGCAAAAGATTGCTGAGAGACACCTGCATAAAAATTTTTCTACAAGATATTACAAAATATTGGGTACACATCCATTCCCATTTTTCCGCCACTAAAAATATTTGTTGTTTTTTTATAACTAAGAACAATGGCATTTTTTTGTCATTCTATTTGTCTACGATGTTTATTGTGCATCGGTATAGTAAGTATTAAGATTATCATTTGTTTTTTGTTTTTGGTATAATTAAAAAAATGCGGTGACGACGTAGACTTGTATTGCCTCTGTTTTTGTTGTTAGAATTTTTGGTATCAATTTAGAAATTCCAAAATAAAAATAGCACTTTCAAGCCAATTTATTAATTTAGTTGAAGGTGAAAAAAAATTGCGGAATTCCAACAAGTTATGCCATCCCAAAAGTGACATCGTTGTCGACGTCGACAAGTAGAATGAGGGTGAATAACTACGGTATCCGAACAAACAAATACTAACCTTATTTAAAAGTGCAGACTGATAAAAATTAAAATATATTCTATTAAATATTGCAACAATCAGTTATGTATGTACGTGCTTATAGCTTAGTCTTAAATGGATTTCGTATTTCTAACATTAAGATAAATGCAAAAATGAACTGGTTTTTGTTTCTGGTTTTTTTTTTTTTTTTTTCTTCTTTTAACAAGACTCAATCAACAAAGCAATTCCTTGGCCGCCTCCAATACATGCAGATCCGATCGAATATTTAAGTTTTTTGCGTCTAAAAATGAGATTCACAATAATATAAAATCGGAGAGAAATTGAAAGAACTTGAAACTTACTGCATTTCATGGGTCAAGTGACCAATAATACGATTACCACTGGCACCCAAGGGATGGCCCAATGCAATGGCACCGCCGTTAACATTCAATTTATTTATATCTAAACCAAGAGCATCAGCACAAGCCAAGGTCTGGGCGGCAAAAGCTTCGTTGATCTGTGAGAGAAAAGAGTGACGTAATTTTGAAGTTTATGAAAAAATTAAGATATTCTTACTTCAACAAGGTCGATGTCGTCCAATTTTTTGCCTGTCAATTTCAAAACGTTATTGATGGCTGAAACTGGACCAATACCCATTATCTCTGGTGGACATCCAACATAAGAATAAGCAACTAAACGGGCTAAAGGTTTCAAGTTATATTCCTTAAGAGCTTCTTCGGAAGCCAATACTACTGCTGAAGCACCATCACAGATTCCCTGCAAACGCAGAAAGTAATTATAAGTTTAGTGCCACACTGCATTTCTAGCTTATTTGTATGAACTTACAGAAGCTGTTCCAGCTGTGACAACACCGTTTTTCTTGAACAAAGATGGCAACTTGGATAGTCCTTCCAATGTGGTTTGAGGTCTGGGATGTTCATCGACAGCGAAATCGACTTCCTTTCCCTTCACCTTCAATTTGAAAGGTGTAATTTCAGCATTAAAAGCACCCTCTTTTTGTGCCTTTTCCCAATTTTTCTGCGAACGCAAAGAGAATTCATCAACGCGCTCCCTTGAAATTTTATATTGGTCCGCCAAATTCTCTGCAGTTAAAGCCATTGGCAATTTGCAGTAAGTGTCGGTAAGACCAGACCATAGGGCGTCTTCCAAATTGTAGTTGGCTCCAAGGGTAGTTCCGAAACGAATGTTACGTGCAATAAACGGAGCTTGTGACATATTTTCCACGCCACCAGTAAGTGCGACCTTAGCACTTCCCATAATAATATCCTGAGCTCCGTTCACAATCGATTGAAAACCAGAACCGCAGAGCCGATTGACACCGAGAGCAGGCTTTTCAATGGGGACGCCGCAAGACAGACTGACATGACGAGGCAAGAATGTACCATCGGTGGAAGATGACTATTCCATAAAAACAAAAAGAAAATGAATTATATTGTATTCAAGTGTTCGTCGTAAAGAGTTTAAAATAATGATATGACAATGGAGAGAAAAAGAGTTGTAAGTTTTTTTTATAATTGCTTTATGCCAGAACCGACAAGGATCTAAATATGTTACTATGATTACCGATTTTCCCTATATGATATCGAAAAATTGCAAATCTAGTAAAGTTCTGAAACAGAATATATACATACATTTTTTGCTCTGTTCCAGAACCTGGAAGAATCTGCTATTTTTGTAAGTTTTTTCGATGACATAAAGGTAAAGCGGGTTATCGTAGTAAAAACTTTTACATTCCTGCCGTTCAGGAACACGGCATTTATATTTGCTCTGAATGTAAAAATGTTAATGTTGTTTTAATATTATTTACAACATTCTAAGATGTAATTCGAATAATTTTGCTCTGTTCCAAAACATGTAAGAATCTACTAGTATCTTGAAAACTTATTATATCGTAAACTAATTATAAAATAATTCTCGCATTCGCCGAAATGAATTTCTGTGTGATATAAATGATAAGAACAAAAAATATCACATGGATATCTATTGTTTGAACTATTGAATTGAATTATTTGAAAATTGCAATCTAATTAAGCTGAAATTAGCATATAAAAACTATTTCGATTGAAATTTTTTCGATATTGGAAACGTATTTATTTCCAATTTGAACTTTTCTATTTGCTATTTGAATTCTTCTATTTGTAAATTAAAACTGCAATACTTCATCTAAATATTACATTTATTTGTTGAAGAAGGCGAAAGCCATTGTTTATTCCGTAAACATAGGTGTAAAGTTTTCTGGAAAGAAAAGTGAGTTGTAAGGTCTGTCTAAATACACAAAAATGTGTAACAAAGGTTCAGCAAAAGCGAGCAATTTGAGAGAGAAATCTATGCAGTTCTGTTACTGAGTATTTTCAAAATACCGCGGAATAAAGTCCTTCTTGCAATCACTTGCAATTCTTCCTCCTTAGATAATGCGTTGATTTATTTTTGTGCAAGCAGTTTAAAATTATTTTTGAAAACTATGCCTTTATTGGAGAACAAAGTCACCAGATGGTTTTTTTTTTTTAAGTTGAGTACAAAACTTTTACTTAGTTTGTTTATATTTATGTTGGACAAATTGTTTTACAAAATCAGCTGATTGCTTGCAGGTTTTTACATGATTTCTGTTGGTTTACAATAAAATTACCCCACCCTCTTGCATGAAAATAAGAAGACAGAATTTTTTGAGGAGAAGACGGTGAAAAAGTGACGTTTTCCTCAGCCAACTCTCTAATTTAGTCATAAAACACACTTTTCTTTTCCGTAAACTTTCGCGCCAGATGTGAAAATAACATTACAAATATTTTTAACTACAATTGTTAAAAATTAAAAACAAAAAACAAATCTGAAATACTTAGTAAAATATTTCGAATAACAATGTAAATGTTCAAACATCAGCAGAAACTCTTCGAACATCGTAGAAATATGGTGTAGTTTATTTCTTACCGTCATAATATGGCCGATAACAACTGTATCAATTTTGTCAGCGCTCACACCAGAGGCAGCAATAGCAGCCTTGGCAGCAGCTGTCTGCAATTGTGTCTGATTAATGTTTTTAAACGCTCCTCCGAATGTACCGAATGCAGTACGTTTTGCAGCTACAATATAAACACCTGAAAATATCAAACATTAGCATTAGACTGTACTATTTTCTTTTACATCAGTCGATTCTGTATGAACATAGGCCTGTTAAAGCATCAGGAAAACAAGTGTATTTGATACCCGTATCAGCAATTTCCAACAAGACAAACTGTGTTAGTACCATTAAACGCCACAATTATTTCACAAAACATACATTAAAACACTATTCCAATATAACTTGCGTTATTAACAATGTTTAAATTTTAATTAGATACTGGTACACAATCTTTCATTCATAATTTTAATTTTTATTTTTTTTTTTTATTATTATTTGATGGTTTGATATTCAATTCTGTAAGTAATTGTTTCTAAATGGCTTTTTGAATGGAGTAATTGAAAATTCTTAGTGAAAATTTGGGAAATTCCGATATTCCGAATAATGTGAATAATTTTTGTTACATTTTGTCATTACTTTAAAGCGTATGGTTTTATTTTAGTTTGACTTTTTATATTGTAATGCACTTCAATCCTAAAACGACCAACGCATCTGCATATACAGAGATAAAAACGTGTGCCAATAATAAAATCAAAGTACTTAAAATCTGCAGGGATTTATACATGGAAACCAGTACACCGAAGTAGTCAGGTACATTTTTAGGTGATTTCTGAACTGCTTGCGCCAAAAATCTTATATTTCCTGTTGGGCCCCTGGAATTGGTGGCGGAAGGTATTGGAGGTCATTCGAGCGGAATGAATGAATGAATTCAAGAATGGTTTGACCATGGCTCGATATGGAAGTTTGCTCAATTTCGAAGAAACTTGGAAAAATTCAACTCTGTACTGGAGCCATTTTGTGTCGAATAGACTTTTAAAAATTCAATTATTATTTTACATTGGCTTTGTTCCAGTATCCGCAAGAATCTGCTATTTTGGCAACTTTCTTCGATATCATAAAGGGAAAATGGGTTATCGTAGTAAAAACTTTTACATTTTTGCAGTTCTGGAACAGACCAATCTTTTCACAGATCCAAAAAACAAATCGGATATTGGTGGAATTAAGATGGTAAAGTCATTTCAAGTAAGCATTCCCATCTTTGCATTTTCTGAAACTGAGCTTGTCAAATACTATCGTTCATATGAGCTGCCACAACAAAAACAGGATTTGTTTAGTTACGTTTATAAACTATTCAAATATTCTATCAATTTTGTGAGAAATGCTTCAACTGAAAGTGGAGACCTGCCGAGTTATAATGTTTAAAAATGTGTATCTGGAATTAAAAATGTGAAGATGAAACAGTTAAATTTTACGCAAAAAATTATGGACAATTTTCAGAATGGAATTAATGGTTGATGTTAATTTTCGTCGATTTAATCATAACCATTTTTCTGATCTGTGTAATGGGACTGAATTAAATTGAGAATTTCTACCGAAGGTCCTATGAATAGCGTGTGTTGGACATACGCCAAAAACACTCAAGGGTAGAAGGGCGGCAACCTAAACGATTATTATTATATTAAGAAAAACTTGAGCTCACGTAGGGGGAATTGAACACATTCCAGAGTAGAAGATTTCTGCTCTCATTTGAAGGCTGGTTATTTAAAAAGTATCAAATTTTAGAAAACAATAACACATATTGTTTGGAAAGATTGAAATATATTGGTTAACTGCATTAAAATAAATCCTAATATTTGCACGAGTATTTGGTGAGGTGTGACAAGGAACAATATAGGCACTCTTCTTCCAGTAATTCCGAAGGTTCACAATTTTGAATAATCATGTCTCTTATAAAAGGGGAAAAAGAGGCCAATTGCCCAATTTTTGTACCAAAAAAGACCTGACATGAAGAACGGATAGACCGGAGCACTCGTGTATCTTCCCCACGGGTCAACGTTTTGAATAACAATGACGCCCATAAAAGGCGAATTGAACAGCACACCTGTCCAATCACAAGATACGCTCTATTCCTTGCTTTGGATAAGCCACCTGCATCTATTGAACATATCAAAACTCTCGTGCAGTTTTGATCATCACCATATAAACACACTGGATTTGTCTTTACATACACCTTTTGGTGTTATCGTTTTAACTACGCAAATTGATACACACACTCATCGTTGTTACCACTCTCAACCAGATGTTCGCGAGTCTAATCACAAGATAGTAACTGCAAAACAATAACGAAAACCACTATCTGAATATAACCTGGCGTTTTGATTCCTAGAAATCGCCATCTTTGCCCTTCAACAAGGGTTTCGTTTCAAAGTTCAAAAAAAAAAAAAAAAAAGAACAGCACACCCTAAAATTTACATCAATACCAGATGTAATGTGGAGATGAGATGCATCGGTCCGCTGCTTCAGGTTCAACATGATATATGATACAAAATGTGGAATAAGAGCTTCATTGTCTTCAAATTTCGCACATCCCAATATTTTTACCAACACTCCCTCTGGTACCTCCACGGTGAACATTTTGTATAATCATAAACCTCAAAAATGCTAAATAATCGTCCTACTTTTTTCAAACTTTGCACACCATAGTGTGTCTGCATACGCAAAATCTGATGTAGCGATGGGATGAAAATTATGCGATGTCTGTCCCAAAAATAATAAGAGCCACATGCTTTGGACCACCATTTACGGTGTTCTTTGGATTTGGGAACAACATAAAAAAATTCCGGCCAGAATCAAATCATGTTTTGCAAAGAAAACATTTTTATTTTGATATTATGTTGGTCAAAATAGTTTTGACAATGAGATGTTGTCAAATGGACAATTTAAAAAAAAAAAATGTAAACATATGATTTCATGACTATCTTTATAATCCTACCATGGATTTTTCCACAAATTGATAAAGACAGACAATAGGACAATATTGTTTTATCATAAAATTATACATTTTGTTGTCCGTCAACGTGAAAATTAAGCATTTCTGCTGGATTTAAAATTGGAATAATTTCAATTCTTTTTCTTGTTTATTCAAAACAATACACACAAATATTCAAAATGTTTACATGTTTTGACAGAAAAGAGAAAAAAATTATTTAGGAGGTAGATTTATTCTACTTTCTGTAATTGCGCTATGGATTTGGCTTTGTTTGCATTCACGTTGGATTGCATTCAGGTGGCACTAAATTAGTGTTCCCATACGAAATGACCTCCAAAATTACCAAATTTATGCTTAGATAGTGCTTTAATATAATGTCAACATAAAATAATACAAAATACTCCTTTATGCCTATATTTTTGTAAATACCATTTTTTGAAACAGGTACTTTCAATCCTTGTTTGTCAAACTACAACCGAATAGCTTACTAAAAGACTTTTTATGATCTACTAAATAAAAATTGGGTTGCTGCTCTAAGATAGTCCTAACTCAGTATATCAAAATAACGGTTTCGTTTTTATGAAATATAATTTTGTTCCTTCGCAATTTTTAAGGTATATTTATTTCCAATTTGCCTGCTATTTTTTTAAATTAAATGTAGTCTACTAGTGTAGTCATAAAATTAAAATTGTTCTAAATACATTTAATTAAATGATAATAATTGACTAATATGTTATGTTGGACCATCATTTTATTGCAAAAGCTTTCGATTGGCCTACTTTACAAGAACTGAGTTACAACAAAAACACTGAAATATATATTTCTTTAGTACCTATCTAACCGATGTATCATATTTTTATGTACTATCTCAAACATCTACAATAAATTAATGCGTATGATTTTCTTCTAATAACCCATATGTAATAATCTCTGTGGGTGAAACTCATATGACGTCCAAAGTTCAATTTAGCCGGTTGAAATAAGTCGAACAAAAGTGAAAAACATAACGTCAACAGCAAAAGAAATCCAACAAAAAAGTCCAAAGTGCAAGCACACCGTATCACAACACATCAACAATAGAGATTTAATATTGAAAATACATGTAGATAGTGAATACAGAATAATAAATATTTTCTAATTCGTGTACTGACCTTTAGTAACAGCCGACATTTCTAATTATTTTTTCGTTTGTACTGATTTTCTGATTTCAAAACGTTATTTCACCGAATACGAAACTTGCGAGTTCGGTGGTTATCAAAATACGTCTACTCTATTTTTATTGGGTAAATGAAATTTGTCAATTTGTGTAGGCCGATTTTACACGACCACCAAACATTTATCAGCTAGATCGGTGGTTTAACAAGAGACCAACACTGCAGATGGAGCACCTTACATGTAAACGTAAGTTATTCAGGGCTGTCAAAGTTGAGACATATGGTTTATTCCTGCATGGTATAATTATTACAAGGTAATTGCAAGTGTTTAGGTTTTGTTGAATGTAGTAGAAGTTTCATGGTAGAAGAATATAGGTAGATGCATGGTACAATGAGTACAAGGTAGGCTAACTTTGAAAAAATTGCAAGTATGGAGGTCTACCTGTTTGGCTTGTAATGTCAGAATTACTATCAAAACAATAAAAAAGCAAACAACTTGTTGCATTGATTTTGAATAAATAATTTAAAACCGCGAAAACGGAATGAAAGGTCAAAATTTATTTTCAAAATCATGTTCTATATATCTCTTATGGTTTATTTCGCGACAAAAAATTTAGATACGTAGCATACGTCGTAATAAGCATTTTGAAAACACCCGAATTTGAATATTTTCTGAACAATTTATTTATTATTGAAAAGAATACACACACATAAACAAATGAAGTTGACATATTAAGCCAGAAAAATAAAAAAATTAAAATCATATGGTAGTTCTGCCCTACCTTGAAATCATTGCACCATGGGTAGATGCATCAACGCTTGGGAACATTGATATGTCAAAATTTCTAAAGTGTTTTATGAAAAATAAATGGGTTTTTTAATTTTTTTATACGACGCATATCAGAGGTTGTTATAATAATAATATTGAATAATTTTTCAACAATTTTTACAAATTTTAATAATTTTTCAATCAAAATTTTCAATACCAAAATCGGTTTGACAGTTTATTGTCCCAGCAGATGTGTCGACTACCTGTATTCTTCTACCATGAGAAGTTTAAATTTTATTTGATTTAAATTTTATAAAATTTATAGAATTGATGGAAAAATTAAATGAATAAATTTAGAAATAACTAGAAAGGGCGTTTGTAAATAAAATGTATTTCTAATTCAAGGAATTATTTTTTATTCAGTGGAAGTGCGTTCTTTAGGTTTTGTTTTTCATTTGTTTGTATTTATATTTTTAGTTTCGTGTGATGTGTGTATTACTTTGTTTGTTACATGACAACAAACATAGAAGGTATAGTCATGGAATCATATGTATATACATTCAAAATAATATATATATATATATGTATATATATATATATATATATATATATATAAATCAGAGATGGGAACCTGTTTTCTCTTTGAATTTCAGATCGCTTAGTTAGGCCATGATATGTTACATTTTCAAATTGGCACATATTTCATCGTCGTCGAAAAAAAATCAGAAAATTGTGATTGTTAACTTCAGTAGCATGGCTCAATCCGAAAGGTTACGCAACTTCAAGAAACTAGGAAAAAACAAATCTGTGCAGTAATAGATTATCTTCACTTTATAGTCCACTTTTGTTATCCCTTACTTTAGGAACAGTGGAGGATAAAGTTCACATTATCAGATTCTCATTATTACATATTTCCTTTAAAGTATATGCATTTCTGTCAAGCTTTTTGTAAAAGTAATTTTTTTCACAATGTCATCTTTATTTTAGGTTGATAATAAACAAAAACAATTTGTAATTAATTTCGTGAAATAAATTACTAATTCAGTTCTTCAATACAAAATAAATGATTTGCATTATCGATTTCTTTATTTAAATATACTTTGCTGTTATTGTCATATTATCAATATAAAATATGACAACATGAATTCAGTAAACTTTACGTTAAAAGATAAAGGGAAGATGTTCTGGCCTTTTGCTTATCGAACAGTTTTTATTTAAATGAGACTTGTAATAACGAAAAACGATTTCTGTGTCCAACAACATCACTTTTTTATCTATCGGAAAGATGTTTATTTTAAACTTTTTATAATGCAATTTTTATATTGCGAAAACCCTCAAACAAAATTAAATCTAAGACAGTAGGATAATACAGTGTTTTTCCCAAAATTGTTCAATATGTCACTCATTAACCTCGAAAACATGTATTTATGTTGCAGATGAAGTTGAGAAAAATTTCAAATTGATTAATTTTTTATTCAAATCAATCCACACACAATTTCGTGATCCCAATTTTTTTTTTTTTTTTTTTTTTTGATTTTGGTTGATTGTTGGATAGGTACCCGTAGTACCTATGTACCAAGGCTGGTTATTTTGGTTATGTGAGTATTACAAAATGAGTAATCATGTTGGTTCACTTTGTGAATATATTGATTGATGATTTGAGAAGAGCGATGACGTATTGGTTTGTTTACAATTCTAAATGTGCTGAGTGGATAAAGTTGCAAAGTTCGTTGATAATATTTTTGGTGAGGTTTTTCAGAAGATCAGGTAAGTTGTTGTAATTGTTGAAAAAATTGAATTCACTTCTCAGGTGGTCATATTTCTTGCATATGAATATTGAATGATTTTCCGTTTCAGGAACACTGCAAACTGGACAGAGATTTGTGTCTGCTGCTTTTATTTGGTGAAGGTATACTTTTGAGTATGTGTGACCAGCAAGTAAGCGATTAATTAGTTTTATTTCTCCAGGTTCTAAGTGCCAATCAGAATGCCAGTGCCTTTTGGGAGGCGATGGAAAAAATTGCGCAAAGTAAGTGCCTTTTGAAATTGATAGTAATCTGTATTTGTTAACCCATTCATTCCATAGGGCATCGTAAATTGTCGAACAGGCGTCTTTGATAGCCAGACTAGATGGAATAACACATCCAACATCAGCGGCTTGCTTAGCAAAGTAATCAGCACGCTCATTTGAGGAGATTCCAACGTGTGATGGGACCCACACCAAGGTAAGATGATTTAAGTTTGAGGAGTTAACTTTTTTGTTGATTATGTTGACTAAGTAATTGTGTGATGTGTTGTTCTTTAGTAGCAAACAGGCATTTTTACTGTCGGTGAAGATTACTGCTTTTTGTATGCCGTCTTCAATCATGAGGTCAACGGCTTTATTAATGGCGTTAAGCTCACCCATCAGGGAGGAACATTTAGAGTTTATTTTGAAAAGAAAGTTTTCATTGGATGAAATGTTGCAGACTCCGCAGCCAGTTTTGTTGCCAATGACCGAGGCATCGGTTGCCCAAACTGATGTTCCATTTGATTTGAATTGGCTGAGATGTTGAAGATATATGCTATTGAAGAACTCTTTAGCTTGTGATTGTTTTGGGGCATTAAACATGTTCATAACAAATGAAACTTTCTCCCCTGGGGATTCGGACGGACATATCATAGTATTGTCAAACACGTTTTTGAATTTGTTGTATATCATACCAAGACTAGATTTATTCGATGGGTTTGACGTGAATTTTTGATATGTTTCCTGTTGAAATATTTTGAATTTTAGAAGCTCTTTGGCGGCAAGGTATTGCGAGCGAAATTCTGGAGGCAGAACAATTGCCAAGGCGTATATTACATGAATAGGTGTTGAAGGCGTTAATCCTAGGCTTTTCCTTAAAATTTGGTTTTGACATGTTTTCAGTTTTTTATTGACATGATTAGGCATGTGTGCCATAGATGAAATAGAGTATTCCAATTTAGAGAAGAGGAGTGATTTTGCCAGATTTATTGATATTTTGGGATGAATTCCACCTTTGAGAGAATTTATCATTTTTAGAGCATTTAAAGTTGTGTTGCAAGACTTGATTACTTCATCGTAATGATTTTTAATAGTCAGACTATTTTTGATGTGTCTTCCTAAAAATTTTATCTTTTCCACTGCGTTTATTAAAGTCCCTTGAAGTGTAATTTTTGGTATTTTTCTAGCACCCTTAGCAATATACATTACCGCTGTTTTATCGATGTTGACTGAAAGATTTAACTTGTTAAGAATACCACAAAATTCATCCATTTTTATCTGAAGGTTATCATTGGCGATATTAAAATCTTTATGTGTTGACAGAATTATAAAGTCATCTGCAAACTGAAATGTTTTCGTATGTTGATTGTTTATGCCATGTAAACCGAGTGTGTATATATTAAAGAGTGTGGGACTTAGACAGCTGCCTTGAGGGAGACCATTGTAAATTTCCAGACTTTCTTTGCCCATGACTAGAGTCCTTTGTTTTAGAAAATTTATGATCCACATGGAAATTTCTTTAGGACAGGAGAGCTCATTTAAAATTCGGAAAAGTAATTCTATTTTGACACACTCATACGCCTTGTTGATGTCTAATGATACAATGATGACTTTATCACCTTGCTCTTTTTGACAGTTAATTGTATGTAACAAATCGTTTATGCACATAGAGGCAGATAGGTTTTTTCTATATGCATATGTGTTTTGTGGATAAATTCTGTTTTGGTCTAGAAAATCCTGAAGTCTTTCCTTCACCATCAGGTTAATAATTTTGGCGAAAACCGATATCAATGCAATTGGCCTGTAGTTTGTAAAGATTTCCAAGTCTTTACCTCTTTTTGGGATAGGAACAATTTTGATTTTCCTCCATTCCATCATAAAATTGCACTTTTTCCACGCATTGTTCATGGCTTTTAGCAAATTTTTTTTGGCCATTTCCGACAAATTGTTGATCATTTCATATGTTACCCCGTCTGTGCCTGCTGCAGATGGTTTCTTCTTTTTGTTTAGAACATTGTTAAATTCATCATAGGAAAAAGAGTCCGGTGTATTGGAACTGGTAAGCGGGAGCAGTATAGGGGAATTATTTGGGACTTGGTCCCCTAGATGTATTAAGAATTGTTTATCATTATCGGAGGACCATTTGGTTTGATAGAGTGTTGTTGAAGAGTTTTTGCATCCTCTAACAAATTTAAAGAGTGATTTTGAATTTGGTTCCCTGTTGAGATCATGAATTCTCGTTTTGAATGCTTTGTTTTTGGCAAATTTAACAGCATTTTGGAAGGCTTTTTTTGCGTTGATGAGATTTGAGGCGTTGATGTTGTTGTTGAACATGTCATACGTCTTTTGTGCTGCAACTTGAAGTCTGTGTGTTTTTTCCACAATGGGATCCCACCACACTTTGGGTGATTTATTGGAATTTATGATGTACGTAGATTTCTTAATTTCATCATCGAAAGTTGCGTGTATTTCATCAAATGAGTCGGTAAAAGTGGTATTATTGAGCGATTTTAACAGTTTCTTTTTAGCTAGAAACTTTTGATTTTTGACCTTACTATTGCCAATACTTATGACTATGGGGTAATGGTGGCTACCCCCAATAGTGTACGGTTGTACTTTCCAAGTGGTATCTAAAGCCGTGTTTGTGAAGGACAGGTCCAGCACAGAACCAGTGTTATCATTGAGACGTTTTTTAAAAGTAAAATGTCCATTATTGAGATGATAGAAGTTAGATGGATCAAAGAAACTTTTTACGATGTTACCTCGATATGAGTCAAAAGAATCGCCATAAAATGTGTGTCTTGCATTAAAATCGCCGCAAATTAGTACATCGGATCGTGATTCAAGAAATGATAGCAGTTTTTCAAGTTCATGTTTTATTTCGCTAGCTTTAATGGAATGAGGGAAATATACAGACGCTATTGTCAAATTGTTTGAGATATTTGTTGTTTGGCAGATAATTATATCCAATGGTGTTTGAAATTTTATTTTTTTGAACTTGATGTTCTTTTTAAAAAGGATGGCAACTCCACCGTAGTTGTCTGTTCTCTTTTTTAACACTATATTATAATTATATATATTTGTGTTGTTTTGAGATTCATCTATGTTGAAAATTTCACTTAAGACACAGATATCTATATTGAATTTCTTTAAATAAAATTCAAGGTAATGCTTGTTCTTATTAAGGCTCTGTATATTATATTGTAAGATATTCATGAATGCTTTTTATAGTTTTAGTTTTGTAAGGAAGAGCTTGATATTGGGATTTCACTGTTTTCATGATCATTGTTTATTTTTTTTATATTTTTTTCAGTACGGGATAAGACTGTTTTTCTGAAGGTTTCTAGGATGTCTAAACCTTCCGCGCAGTTTAAAGAGGTGAGTAGTTGAGACATTTGGTTTGTAAATGCTGACATAGCTTTTTCCAGCTCAGACACTTTAGAGAAGGATGGCTGTTCATACACTGGAACTGAGGGCGTAATAGTAATGGGACTAGCAACCGGATGATTAGATTTGATCCGAGGAGCAGCTACTTTACTGTATTTAATTTTTGTGATCCTTTTGTTTATTTCATCATTAAAATTTATTTTTGATTGATTAGCAGCTTTTTTTAATGGAGGAAAATCTGAATTATACTTCTTATCTGCCAAAATTGCGTAAAAGTTTTGGGTTTCGGGATATTTTTGTATAACTTCTTTCCTACTCAAATTAGAAAGAGTCATAATTGATTTAATACTCCTTTCGGTTTTCCATCTTGGACATATTTTGTCGTCCATAGCGTTGTGATCAACACTATTGCATAAAATGCATTTAGTTAAATCACATACTTCTTTGCATTTAATCGTAGAAAGGCATTCCTTACATTTTTGCTCCTTGCATTGATTTGGGCAAATAATTAACTTGCCACAGTCAAGGCAACGTTTAGTAGACTTGCAACGCACAGCAATGTGACCAAGACGACCACAATTTTTGCACAGACGTACGGGGGGAACATATAGATCGGGTATGACTCTAGTACCACACATAAAAATGTACTGAGGAACACCATCGCATATGATTCCTACTTTTATGGTTTCAGTTTCTTCGATTAAATCATTTTCGTTTTTTCTGGTGAATCGGTAGACCGATATCACATCTATATCATTATTCTCTTCAATAGAATTTTTAATGGTTATACCATCAATTGACTTAGGAACATTTTTGATTACGTAAAATTTTTGGATGAATCTCTCAGGAATTTCGGCTTTCAGGCCAACTTCTTGCAGTCTTTTGTTTTGTGCAAATGAATTTGCCAAATTGCAGTTGTTGAAGGTAAGACGGAAAGTATTGTAGCCAACGTTTTTGCAAACATATGTAGTTGGCATATTAATTTTTTGCAAAAGGACATATAAATGTAGTTCACAGTTTTTCCTCCTGGAACTTATAGGAGTCTCTGACGTGACCATAACGTAAAAAGGCCCTGGATGGTGTTGTGGGTAAAAAGTGTTTGCCTTCATGGCATTATAGTTTGATTCAAACTTTTGGGAAGATTCCGACTCATTGGATGAAGCCTGAGACATATTTGTACTAATAGGTTCACCATCATTGTTTATAAATTTTTTGTTTAGGTTTGCAATTATATTTGCACGGCGTTTGTTGGGGTCCCAAAGTGGTTTTGGTTGGGGTGGCGGATCCCCATCCGCATCCATTTTTGAAGCACTATATATTTAAATGGCTTTTAAATTAGTTTTCAATGAGAAAAAAAAAAGATTTTAAAATGTCGTATATTCAGCAAAACAAAAGTGTGTTTGTGTTCGTTTTGTTGATATGTTTTTGTGTATATGTTGTTTTTGCAACGCAAAGCGAAACGAAAGTAAAAGCGCAGTCTAGCATCAACAGTTGTTGAGTAGCGACTGCCCAATTTTTATTCACCGACAAGCATGTAGAATAATACAGGCAGTCGCATCAAACCAATTTTGGAATTGAAAATTTTCAATGAAAAATTATTGAAATTTGTAAAATGCTTCGTATAAGAAAAAATATAAAAATCTACTAATTTTTGAAAAAAAAAAAAAGAAATTAAAAAATGTTGACATATCAATGTTCACAACTATTAAATATATCTACGTAATTCTCCGCAAAAAATGTTTTGAGCGAACAAAAATGTTGGTTTCTTTTTCCATTCAAATCACTCTCAGAAATGCGATGAAATATGCAATTTTGTTGTTGCAAAATGGTCAGGCTTTTTTCCTAAAAATGAAAGAGTTTATCGAACAATAAATTATGACATTTAAAAATGTAAAAAATAAAAAATAGAAATAAAAGTTTCAGAAAAATGGAAATAATGGTGAAAGTACATGATGTCTTCTCTCTTCTGGGGTACGCAAAAAAGCAGTGCCAGCAGTAGTAAAAATAAATAATTTAAGAGCGGAAAAAATTGTTTATCCGTGGAGTACCAATGCTCATGCTTATATAAATTGCTCTGTTCCAGAAGTGCAAGAATTTAAAAGTTTTTAATACGATAACTGATTTCTCCTTTACGATATCGGAAAAAATATTGCAAAACTTGTAGGTTCTTGCAGATACTGGAACAGAGTATATTGGAGAAATAATAGATATATGTTGCAGAATGTATCTTTGTGTAAGAAATGATTTTTGTTTTTTCTGTATTCATTTGTTTTTGCAATGAAAATGTAAAAAGAAATAAACTACATCAATATATGTCTGCTGTGAAGATTCGCGCCAAAATTGTTGTGATGGATGTTAATGGGAAATTTATATTTAACATTGAATATGTAAATGCATCAAAAGACAATTTTTGTGGATATTGCTTCGAACGCAAATGACTGGCACCATTTTTTATGATAGTGCTATTGGCATTACTAATTATTTCCGACTATGGTTTTGTTGTTCATCGATAATCGATTAATAGTAATCGATGTAATAAGCATCGGATGCTTGCTCTCAGAAAATTGTCTCCGTATAGAATTAAAGCTAAATTCCCGTGTTCAAATGATTTTTTTGGCACAGACTTGAGGGTATTTCGTTTATTTTGTAAATGCAATATCACACAATTTTGTTTACTCCTCGCAAAGTAATAAATTTCCTAATAACTGAAATTAAAAATGTCGGAATCTGATGCAGCCGCAAAGCCAACGGCCAAATCGAGTATTAGCGATTTACGACAGTTTCGCATCAACAAACCCAATGCCGCCATTGGGACAAAGACAGGTAAGTTGTGCAAGGAAAAGTGATATGTTATGGATTGCAAAAAATTATTTCTCTTAAAATGTAGAACGCGTTCCTGGGAAGAAACGTATACAGGTTATGGCAGACAGCGATAGCGACGGTGCGGATGGCAATTCCCCAAAAAAGGCTAAAGTCGAGCTCACAGTAAAAGAAAAAGAAGAGCGTTTCCTAGCTGCTGCGAAAATATCAACGGAATATGATACAATGGTAAGTCCTTTGTCGTTATAAGAACTGTCATCAGCAGAGCGTAATAAATAATAATGTTCAATACGTATGTATGAATGTATGTGTAGGATATTCAAGACGCCTTGGTTCGCAGTAATTGGATTGTGTCTGAGGCTTTAGTTTATTTAAAGCAAAAATGCACTCCTAAGAGTAGAGGCTCGGCAGCTCATGTAGCTGCTACATCCACACCTAAGCAGACCAATGGCAGCGCAAAACATGCATCAAAGCCTAAAAAGGCGGAGCGCTCGGATTCAGAGGCTGAAGATTCTGCTGATGAGGTGTATTCTAAAAGTCAGGTTTACGATAGCGATGATAGTGATACAGAAGGATCCAAAGAAATGACCGGCCAGCGTAAGAAAGTCTTTGAATTTATGAACACTGCCTCTTTGATTGAACTGCAAACAGTAAAGACGTTGTCCGAAAAGAAAGCCAGTTTGATTGTGGAATTGAGACCCTTTAAGGATTGGGCCGATTTGAGGCAGAAGTTGGTTTCAAATAAGGCCCTGTCAGCTGATCTGTTAAATAATGCCCAGGAACTTATAAACAAACAAAACAATGTGGCTAATATATTGGCGAAGTGTAACAAACTGGTGCAACGGCTGGAATCAGCAATAGAGGCAGGGGCTGGTATTGTAGAACAACCAAAAATACTCAATGGAAAATTTAAGTTGGCAGATTATCAACTGATAGGCCTTAATTGGCTTACGGTTATGAACAAACAACAAATGAATGGAATTTTATCCGACGAGATGGGTTTGGGGAAAACAATTCAAGTTATTGCTTTCTTGGCATACCTCAAAGAAAATAATCTATCGAAAGCGGCTCATTTAATTGTTGTACCCTCGTCCACACTTGACAATTGGGCCAGTGAAATAGCCAGATGGTGCCCAAGTTTGGTTGTTGAGAAATATCACGGTTCCCAGGAGGAACGAAGACGAATGAGGATTCGATTTGCCAAAGAGGGTTTCACTGGTTTCGATGTACTCTTGACAACGTATGTATTTTTAAGAAGCAATACATTCATCGATTGTAATGATAATTACCATTTTCTGTTTCTTAAAGATATCACATTGTGTCCAGTACACCCGAAGAACGGAAAATGTTTCGTGTTAGTAAACTTCATTATGTTATTTTTGACGAGGCGCATATGTTGAAGAACATGACCACTCAGCGATATGCCAACCTGATTACAATCAATGCGGAAATGCGGATTCTACTCACCGGCACACCACTTCAAAACAATCTTTTGGAATTGATGTCATTGCTTTGTTTTGTCATGCCAACTTTTTTTGGTAAAAATGTGGAAGACATTAAAAGCTTGTTTGGCAAGGTAAGTTAGGCCATTTAAAAGAGTCGAAAAGTATTACTAGATATATTTCTTAACAACATTATTTACATAATGACGTATAGTTCTACTGACGAGAGCTATATGTCATACATAGAACATTCTTAGACAATTTGATACTATGTACTAAAAATTGAAAATATATTTTCAGAAAAGCAAAGTAGAGAATGGCAATGATGAATTGTCGCAATTTCAAGAGACTCAAGTGGAGAGGGCTAAACGTATTATGAAACCTTTTGTGTTAAGGCGTTTAAAGAAAGATGTACTTAGCCATTTACCGAAAAAGCATACATACATTGTAAGTATCCAAATATATTCCATAGGACATTACCTTCATTACAATTCGAAAGTGAATGCGAAAGAAAACAACATCAATTCCATGAGTGTTTGGGTGTTTTTCTTTATTATTCACTTTTGACTCGCCACTTAGAAAAGACCCTTAGATAAATGAAAATGAGCAAGACTATATTTAATTCATTCATTCATTTTCCTCATAATAAAGTGGTTTCATTTCTAATATTATAGCATGTTTTAGGCTAATATCACATTAGCATGGTATTTAATACGAAAACAGTCGTATTTTTATTGAAGTTTAAGAATAATTACCATCCTCTCTCTCTCTCTCTTATATTTTTTAGAATAAAGTTGCTATGACAGATTCACAAAAACGTTACTACAACGATTTAGTCGAGTACTATTCAAATAATCGTGGAGAAATTTATAGCGGAGATCGGGCTGGTGTATCGATTATGATTGAAATGAGGAAACTTGCTAACCATCCACTTCTGGGCCGTTACTATTTTAGTGATGAAAAGCTACGCGAATTCTCGAAGCGCTTAGCCACAGTGTCTACATACAAGAAAACCAATCCCCAATACATTTTCGAAGAAATGGCTGTTATGTCTGATTTTCAAGTATGGCAACTATGCAACAAACATGTAAGATAGTATCTGTTTTTAAATCATATTCTTTCCGAAATTGCTGATTTTTTATTTTTCTCTATAGGAGCTCGACGATGTAATTATACCTGATCGACTTATTTGTGAGTCTGGTAAATTTAAACATTTGGATTCCCTATTGCCAAAGTTAAAAGAGGAAGGTCATCGAGTTCTAATATTCAGTCAGTTCACAATGATGCTTGATATCGTGGAACGATATCTGGATATACGCAAACACGGCTATTGTCGTCTAGACGGTTCTACGGCCGTGGAGGAACGGCAGGATATGATAAATGACTTTAATGCAGATTCAGATATATTTATATTTCTATTGTCTACGAAGGCAGGTGGTGTAGGCATCAATTTAACCGCTGCCGATACATGTATAATACATGACATTGATTTCAACCCTTACAATGATAAACAAGCTGAAGATCGTTGTCATCGCATGGGTCAAACTAGACCAGTTAGCATTTACCGCTTAATTTCGGAGGGAACTATTGAAGAGGGTATGCTGATGGTGGCGGAAGAAAAATTAAAATTAGAGAAAGATATAACATCAACCGATAAGGGCGAGGTCCAAGAAACAAAATGCGTTGTGAGGCTATTAACAATGGCGCTTGGTCTGGACAAAGAGGAAGAAGAGCGGTTGAATAAATCCATAAACAGCTCCTTAACGTCGCCTTCCAAGTAAAATCTAACACTTACCATACTTATTTCCTACAATGTTGCTAAATTTCAATTGTTTAATATATATTTTTAATTTATTGGTACAAATTAAAGTCCGTCACTAGCTACATTTTGTTCATTGATTTACATTAATGTTAATATAATCTTTTGATAACCCAGGTATCGAAAATATTTCCTCCTCAAATTTTTTTCATGAAACTTAGCATCCATACATCCCTGTTTATAATTTTATACAGATTTTGTTGTGAATGTTTAAACAGCTACTCCCCTGTAGGCTTAATGAAACCCACTACAAAAACTGAATATTCATCTCTATTAAAACATTTCATACGGGATAATTTATCAAATATTTTATTGTAAGAATTGAAAATTCCAATACATTATTAAGGTCAACATTTACTATAAATAAAGATTACAAAAACAATAGATGAAAGCAAATGACATGATTTTGTATATGGCTAAGCTAGAACAAATGTATGCCGATAACCAATCCATGTTTGTGTATGTTTGTGTATGTAACTGCAAGATATATAAAGCGTGCTAGAATATTTTGGCAAAATTGTTTTATTTGTCGTTTAACTTACAGGTAGAGCTTGAGAATTGGTGTAGCAATGTAACGTAACCGGCGTATAAGCTAAATTTCCAAAAAAATGCATTACTGAGATCAAAATGTTATCTGCCATTCCGCTGGCGAAAATTTTAAATTTACATCAGATATTTCAACCCATAGCCGGTGGATAGCTAATTAAAAAGGTCAAATGTGCATATGATAAACCAAATGTGCATTACGTCGATGATGTTTTCCGGAATGCTTCAAAAGTCTACAACTAACACCAATTTTCACAATCATTACTATAAAACTGTACGCAGGCCTAAAATTATTAGTGACATTGTCGGCACATTTTATACCCTCCACCATTCTATGGAGAGTATATTAACTTTGTCATTCCGTATGTAACTCCTCGAAATATTTATAATAGACACTACAAAGTATATTTATACTGCATCGGCGTAAAATTCTAAGACGATCTACCGATGTCCGTCTGTTCTTTCGAACGAATTGAGATAGAAGGCTAAAATGATGAATACATGTATAGTTTACCAGTAGGCAGGTTAAGTTCGTAAATGTCGTCATGTCGGTCCACGTTTTCGTATAGCCCCCATATAACGGTACCTCTCGATATTCGGAATTTTCATAATTTTAGCGACAGTATTTACCGGAATTATTTCAAACTTCATATTTAAAGTTAGTAATGGGTACTACTGCCTATGACAAAAATGTTTGTATGCAGGTCCACGTCTTCATATAACCCCCATATAACGGTACTTCCCGATATTAGGTATTTTCATGATTTGTGCGACATTATTCAACGGAATTGTTTAAAATTTTGGTATTTGAAGTTCGTAATGGGTACTACAGCCTATGACAAAAATTTTTGTAAGCAGTCCACGTCTTCGTATAGTCTTCATATAACAGTTTTCATTTAAGTGGTAGTTTCCCGGAAGTTTTTTGAATTTTTTTTTTCCAAATAGTAGAGGATATTACAATTTCGGCCCGACGAACTTGGATGCTTTTTTACTTGTTAATTTTGCCTTTCGGCTTACCGAAACACGTTAGTAAGCCATTCTGCGTACCTTAGACTTTCTTGGTTAAAAAAAATTGTTTTGCAGCTACACAAGACGCTTTAAAAAGTCAAAATTGTTCGCTACCTTAAATTTAAAAAATTCGATATTTGATTTTTTTCAAATAAAATGGTTATATTTAATATTCAAAGTATAAACTATTTAATTTCCATTTCTTCAAAAAATAATTTTAATTTATTGTGCCAAATTACATACACCGGACAACAACGTGTCATTAGTTCACCCCTGACAAAATTAAGGATATTCAGACATGTCACAAATTCCGAACGTAATGTTTTCAATTCCTTAATATTGTTATATTGTTTATATTTTCTTCAGATCTGATCGATTTGGTTAATTACGAAAATATAATTATTAAGTGAAAATATGGCATCAATGAACGAATGAAAAATCAAAATAACCACATGATTAGAACCATAAAAAAGCAGTAAGTTCGGCCGGGCCGAACTTTGAATACCCTATTTGGAACGGGTTTGGAAATTTTGGAAAAAGATAACATTCGCCAAAAATTCTGTTAACCTACATAGACATTGTTTTTCATAAACCATTACCATATTCAAATTCGAAACTTGAAATAAACAGTGAATAATGTAGCTAAATTCATCAAAATACCGTATATAGGGAGGTACCGTTATATCGGAGCTATACGAAGAAATGGACCTGCATAGATAATTTTCTGTCGCATGCTGTAGCTTCTATTACATACTTCAAATTCCCATTACGAACTCTAATTGCGTAATTTGAAACTACAACGGTGAATAATGACGTTAAATCATCAAAATACCGAATATTGGGAGGTATCGTTATATGGGGGCTACAATTTTCTGTCTTAGGCTGTAATATTCATTTCAAACTTCAAATGCCAAATTTGAAACAATTCCGGTGAATAATATCGCTTAAATCATCAAGATACCGAATATCGGGAGGTACCGTTATATGGGGGCTATACGAAGACGTGGACCTACATGGCCCATTTACGAACTTAACCTGCCTACTAGAAAAATAAACATGTGTGCAAAATTTTAGCCTTCTATCTCTTCTTTCGAAAGATAGCGTGATTACAACAGACAGACAGACAGACGGACATCGTTAAATCGACTTAGAATGTTACGCTGATCAAGAATATATATACTTTTTGGGTCTGACATGTGCATTTCGAGGAGTTACAAACGGAATGACAAAATGAATATACCCTCCATAGTATGGTGGAGGGTATAAAAACTTTGTTTTGGTTTCAATAGTCACTTCCGACTGACAATGAAAAAAATAAGTCTTCCAAGTTCATCGATACCTAGGATATTCCAATTGTCGACAACACTTCGGGTTCTAGCTATTTGTGCTTTCCAAGGTGTTTTTACAAATAAATAATGTTTGTTTAAAGAAAAGAATTAGTTTTCCGCAAAAAATAACTTTATTCGTCAATTGAGAAACTAATTAAAATTAGCGAATTATTTTAAAGAAAAATATAAAAAATCACATTTAATTGTGTATTTGTCATTAAAACAATATTTATTATTATTGTTTTAAGTTTTAAAAAGCATTTTAATGTTAAAACTGTTCAGAAAAACACATATAACCACAAAATCATAAATGTTTATATTGTGAAAAAATAGTATAAGGTAGTGCAAAACGCAGCGAATTTGACAACTGTAATACTAGTCACAAATTCGATATTTTTTTTGCAATTACCAAGAAATATTGGTAACATACAAACGCAGTGTTTTTTATAGTAAAAATTAATTAACAACTTTGTTTCTATCGTTAGGTTTTTAGTTAAATTTCAAAGAGCAATATTTAACAATGTTGCACAATTTTTTATCTTTTAATACTGTTTGGAACCATTTCCGAAAATATCGCCTTACATTATTGAAGATTAATCCTAACATTTACATTTTGTGCTTGTCAGCGCTTTTCGTACCCTTTAAATACGAATTTTAGTAAATCCGCCTAATCTCTAACCATTACATCATCAACGTCATTTTAGAATTCTAGCTCAATTCTTTCGCATTAAGTACTAATGGTACCCTTGTTGTACCCAAAATGTAGTGACGTTTTACAGGCCTATCTTATACCCGTTACGTCTGGTATTAGGTAGCGTTGTTAATTCCAATTTTGTAAAAACTGTAACCAGCGTCAGATAAAATATTCCAACTTTCAGAATTGTAGCTTAACCCGTACACAATTTATTATCTTTTTGTATTAAATTCCAAAAACTTCACGATATATATAGTTTGGCAGCAATAGAGCGAAATGTTAAGATTGTAAGAGCCACACGCATAGTACATAAAGTATTTATTACTTAATAAATTTACTACTTTTCAGTACACATTTTAAGAAACGACCCTGTACCAAATTCTAAATTTAGTACATGCAAAAGTACAATATTTCGTACTTTTTAGCACATTTTTTAGTAAAAACAGCAGCTTATCTGATTCATCGCCCATATGATGATGACCTTCATGCGAAATGTTGATATTCTAGTTCGGAAAAATTAGATACATTCCCATATTTCTATCAACAATAAATCTTAATTAAAGATGAACTTTATCGCCCGACACTTTTTCTCGCCAATCTAATTTCCCTTAGTTTTTTTAAATCATCGACAAATAAGTGTTAAAACATTTATTACACATTTCATTCATGTTAAACCAGTAAAGAAAGTGCAAAAGTCGGGTGGGGCCGACATTATGATACCCTACCGCACCCTACCTTTGCATATTTAGTATAGCTACCCATAACAAATGGGGAATTTGTGAGAATTAAATTACATTTATCATCATGATTATTGTTATAAATTAAAGTCGAAAGAAAAAATATGTATTTGGGATGTATATCCTCCTCTGAATCGATATCTACTAAATTTTGCGGAAGCATTTGCCTCCGAACCCATATTCATCAAAGTCGATCTTAATTGAGCTGATATTACACTTTTTAGACACAATAACCGTGAAATCGAACGAAGATATATATGGGAGCTATATCGAAATCTGAATCGATCTATGAAAATTTAGCAGAGGCAATTCTATGATGTGATTGTGGATAGCATCCTGAGTGAATTCGTTCGAATTTTCCAAAGTATATATTTCCCATTTGCTGCACAATAAACTTGAAATCGAGTTAAGATATATGGGAGCTATATCCAAATATGAACCGATCTCGATAAAATTTGGCACATGTACGGATGTGAAAGACAAAAATAACAAATCGGATGAACAATATACATGGATGCCTGATCCGATTTCGATCAAATTTGACACACTTGTTTCTAGGTTCAATTTGATAATATTACACATTCGGTGCACTGTAAAAGCTATATGTAAATTTTGACCTATTATCTTTAATTTCAATAGGGTTCGGCCTTGAGCTAAACAAATGATTTGGCAATGCTGGTCTAGAAGATGTTCTATCGCAAGCAGCCAATTTATCTTAATTTTTTTTTTTTTTTAACAACAACCAATCAACGTCTATGTATTATTCATTTAATTTTCTTAAAAAAAAGCTTTAATAATTATTTAATAATTATTATTAAATTATACAATTTAATACAACATTCGGGTTAAAAAAGTAAAACTAAATTGCAAAAATGCAATTTTCATTTTCACTTAAACAATCTCTTTTTCTAAAATGAAATGATTCGTTTTATATAAAGAAATGTATATTGATGAAGGTTTTCTCTTAAATTATCTCTTTTTTTCGGCCGGGACTTCAGTGGATGCTCGCTTACACGATTACTCCAGGACCTCTCCCGGAAACGGACATAATTGTAATAAAAACAACTATTTTGGTTGAAATCGAACGGAATGCCCGATTAATTCCGTACCTTGTAATATTTATATCGGGGTCCAGGTTCAGGTGTGGAAGTATATCAATATCAGACTGTTCTTTTTGTGTCTTTACAACAAAAAAATAATATATTGAAATATATATGAGATTAATTGCGATTTTTTGTGTTCACGTGATATCTAGTGTGAATATGGGAAATATTCGGAGTCCACGAATTAGTCCATACTTTGCACATGATGTATATCTGAAAACCAATAATGTTTCTATCACTCTGAAAGAATTCGGAGATGGACAAAATAGGCTCATTCCCTCTAAAATAACGTCTATCCAAAATAAGTAACTTATAAAAATCAAAGAGAGAATCCGATTTCGTTTTTACTTTAATATTGAATCAGCCTTAGGCCAAATAAGAAATGGATAAAATCAGTTATCTTCTTTTGGTATCTCCCCCGAACCAAGAGCCAACATGTTGAATGATTATAAATCTCATAAAATGCAAAATACATCTCCAGTGGTTTATTTTACATCGCGAATCGCAATACATCTACTTGCATAAATAATGAAGTGCGGTTTTTTTTTTGAAAATTATAATTTTTCGTGGACGAATATTGCCCATCTTTAAACTCGAGCAAAGTTGTATTTTAAGATTACCTATGCCAACATTAGATTATTAAACCGACTCGTTACCAATGCTTGTTTAAATCGATTACCTAATGCCAGTTTGTTTTACAGTGTAGTGCTAGCATATTTTGTCTTCAGGTATGTATGTATGTACCCATGTCCCAAAATGGATACATTGCGCGTCGTTTGTTGGTGACCAAGGCTTGACAGTGTTTGCAAAAATAACATAATTGATTTCAATATTTTTTTTTATTTTATTTGAACCCATATTCAATTAATATGTCATTGATAGGTTCTCTGAACTTGACAGACACCGCTCTACAGACAAAGGGATCCCTTGGGGATGGCTCATTAAGGCACATACAGTCTGATCTGAAAGAGACTACTCTTTCCAGGCGGTCATTTAGTTGGGGGTCGCCGAATTAGTAGCTTCTATATTTTTGTCTTTGCTTCTCTCGTTTTGTCTCATTTTATTTTAATAACAGAAACACACCCAGTAAGTGACTAGTTGTTGTTTAATGAGCTTTTTTTGCAACAAACCGCATTAATGGAAATAAAGAGAATTGGAGAGAACAAATGTTGGCAATAAATTGGCTTTTTCTTGAAAAGAGAACGCTGAGAACTGATCATACATACACACACATACACACAATAGATGCGGTTGGTAATGGCTGAGAACTTTACGTTGCTGTGCGATGAGTGTATTTCTTCATAAGAATGCCGATGATTGCAGAGAGCGACGACAACGACGGCGACAACAACAAAGCTGGATAAAAACACACGAATGACTCATGAACGATTACTTCATTCATATGAATTATTATTATTATTATAAAATAGTAAAGAAAGCTACAACGGCAACAGCAACAGTAACAACAATATCCACTAATTGAAACGATAGCTGAATCGCTTGCTGGAGAAGTATTCAAATACCAGAGTACCATCAACATATAATTGTACCTAACTACGTGTATTAAGAACTTGTCGGAAGCTTTTAATAAGCGAGCTAAGAGATTCCTATACAAATTAGCGTACGAATGAATACACAAACATAAATTGCAATACAAACTACATACCTACTTATATACATTTGTACTCTTAGCGACCGATCGAACGAGACCGCGACCGCGCAAGTTGCGAGTGTTTGGGGAAAACAAAGAGAAATGCAAACCAAGTGAGGGAATCGTTGAAAGACAATTTGGCTGTTGAAGCAGTGCGAAACAATTGACAAATTTTCGAATTCAGTCTATCTCTGATCGCCCAATGATTAAATTTAAATATTTTTAAGTACGAACTATCTTGTTCTCAAAACGGAAAATTCATCCAATTAGTCAAACTGTTCCGAATCGCCTTCAAAAGAACAAAAAAAGAAGCAGCAAAACAAAAAAATTCTTTTTGAATAAATATTGAAAAAAAAAAGAAAAATAAACGAACATAAAAATTTTACGAAACGAATTACGTCAAATTGTTATTTGCTTGTTTGTATTTTTATTATTTTCTCGATTGTTAACACAAAAGCGTTCATATGGCTAAAAATAAATAAACGGTAGGCAAGCGGTTTGAAAACGTGAATATCCATTAGTGATAACTCATCGGAAAAGAAAAATATGAACTAAAAATAAACGCAAAGAACTTACCAAGCCCTCCATATACATGCATACATACATACAAACATTGGTATATATTTGCGGTCTATGTGTACACAATATCACAAGAAAATACAAATGTTACAATACCAATCTATATAAATACAAAATCTTGTGATGATTATGATTGAGTATCCACCGAGAAAATATAATATTTTGCAAATTATAATTTATTTGGAATTTAACAAGAAATGCAAGATTAGTCATCATCATTCAATCTTAACGGACAACTTGAATTTGAATTCAAATATATGACCGTGTATCTTTGCATGTTTGTAGATATGTTTGTTACAAACAAACAAACATATGGAGATCTAAAGATCCACAAGTCCATATAAATGTATTAGAAACCTACGTACGTACATACATACGTACATGTTTGTGCATATACATAGATAGAATAGATATATAGGCAGCAGTTTGTTTTCTTCTGTATCACAATTCTATAAATCGCAAAAGTTCTTTTCATATTTAGTCAACAATAAATACAACGACGACGACAACAACAATAACAACAACAACAATACAAGAAAGCAATAGGAAAATATAACATACATATTGCGTACATAGATATTCACATGTACATTCCTGTATGTACTTATGTATGTTTGTATGTATGGCTGTAATAAAAGTGTGAAATAATTTGCTAAATACGTCATCGTGGTGTCATCATTCGAATAGAAAAGAAAAGCCGAAAGCAACGGAAGGAAAAGCGGAAGAAACACAAACGATCTATAGCCAAAAACAATAAGATTGCCACAAATCTTCAACATAATTATCGCCAATAGACGGCCGCAGCGGCAGCGACAACGACACTATCACTCACCACTACAACAAACATTAAGATCTATTTTTGTTATTCTTTAGCAGGCAGATCTGTCGAAGATCCAAACTGACATATACGTAAATAATTCATACATATAGAAAAAAGCTAAAGCTGAAAGAGCAAAAAAAAATAGATATAGAAAACAAAGAGAGCAACTATCCACAATTCACCGATCGAACAGCAGATATTAATTTGCCCCATAGAGACAGCAGCACCATTGCTAGACAACTAAATACACATCCACTACAGGTCCGCCTACATACAGCGGGCAGAACAAAAAAAAAAAAAAGAGAGTCGCCAATAGCTAGGCTCTTTACATTTTTGTACTTAACACTCAAACGAAACGAGCGGAGAGACCAGTGCAATAGCAAGAGAGCTGTGGAAAATTCGCCAACTACATGTCTACATTCGTACATGTATTAAAGTGAGAAAAAATACCTTTTAATCGAACGAATCAACAAAAAACATCAACAACAACAAACAAAAGCAGAAACAATTTCGGCCATATTCACTGAGCGATCAATACGAACGAAGTACTAACTAAGCAAAAAATCATAAACAAAATCAAGAAAAACTCTAGAAAAGCGCGGAAACAAAAAAAAAAAAAAAAACAAAAATTAAACATCTACGACGCCGAAGTATCTACGACGCCAACTGCAAATTTAGCCGACTCATATAACGTTATTGTGTCTGTCCACCCACCGCCTGGGACAACAAAACGGTCGCAGCAGCCGCAACTCCCACAAAGCGAAGATTACAAATTGTTTGCATTAATTTAGCGCGGGAACTCTCTCAAACCCAAGAGATAAGTTGCATCACATCGCAGTGCACGATATCGGCGACTTACAAACAAAAACTCACATTCACGTACTGGCATTGTCTAAACGAATTCACATCAAACCAAGCGTCGACCGGCGAGAAGTGAAAGAAGAGTTTTTCCACCATTCGAACGCAATACAAACGAAACATAATTAATTAAAAAAAAAAACAACGATTCAACACACGCATATACATACACACATACAAAGCGTACGAACTTAAAAATAAAGTAAACTACTTACTATTAATTGAAATTCAAACGTTCTCTGAGCAAATGCCCTTTTTGAGCGAATAGAACTTAAAATTAACCACACAGACGACGATCCGAAGGCAACCATCGACGGCTTAGGATCACAGAAAGAAAGAACTCATCAATCAAGAGCTGTATAGAACCCATAAGAGCAACGACGTCAACGGCAACGACATCAAGGCATCGCAAAGGCCAATCACATTAAGCCGGAAGAAACGCTGAACATACCTACCTACATATGTACATCACATATCCTCACAAAAAAGGTAATCACATATTTTAGCTATTCCACTACTGTTGTCACTCAAATAGAATCGATTTAAGTTAAATAAGTAGTCGATCACCACACATACACACTTTGGTGTGCGTGTGTGTGTGAGTGTGTTTATTCAAACTTAAAATAAAAACATGATTCAATTATTATTCTCAGAGTGGTTTCATGGCAATTCGTTTTGCCAGGGAGCTTGGGCGTATAAGTTATGTTAAAACGTAACATTAAGTATACGTTGCTGAAGATTGCAAAGTTTTAGTTAAATGGAGGCAGAAGATGTGGACCAACGTGGTCGCACACTCTAAAGGGTACAACAACGAAACGATTTGGGCAATGTATAATCATATTTGAAAATAGAAAATCCTAGTGTTGTTAATATGATAAAATCTAACCTAATTTATTAGTGCAAAAATAGAATAGAGACTAAAACTTCGGTTGTTTGGAAATATTCTCCACAGAAAATATTTACGGGCGGAGCTAATCATGTGTAATCATGATTGGACTATTTTAAAAATGAAAATAAATATCGATCGCGCTCGTTCGATTAATCCTTTCATAATCCTTAAACTGAAACAATATTATACGAAAACCTGCGTTGGCCTGAAAATATTATTGTATGTATTACAAATGTATATATACGAGAGTATATATTTATGTTTATCTACGGTATCTGTCAATATGCACAAATGTTATCGGCATAAGCTTATCGCGTAGTTCGTTAATCTGTTTTGGTCCCTTTATATTATGGGAACATCTTTAAAAAATATAGACTTTAATTTAGACCCTTTCCATTCAAATTGTTTTGCGACCATTGGAGTGATTACAAATTGATTTTGTCCTTATGTGGCATCTAGCTTCTGGTAGAAGACTTCTTTGTGGAAATTTTTCAATGTGAATGTTTAAGAGTAGCACTCATATAAAAGTACCTCCTGATTTTACCTATTTCGAGGTTTTGATTAAATTTTCTAATCGGTTTGACTTAAAATGTGTGTTTAGGCTCAAACTAAAACCTCTTACTGAAAAATAGGATCAGGTTTTTTTAAAGACGTATTTATTTCTATTTAATCGAGTCATCAGTTATACAAAAAATTGTGCCACTTATGTGAGCCAGATTTGTGAATTATTATGCTTTCAAAACAATGCTTTAAAGACTAAAACAACGGGGCGGCAACGCGGACTGGGCCAGCTAGTTTTATGTAATGTACGACTTTTTTCAATTTGACTTATTTTATATATACAGATAAAGTATTATTTTTACCATCTGTATATATAAAATAAGGTTATGTTAGTTAAACTACGCTTATAACCCAGAACGGCTGGCCTGATTGTGACAATACCATTTCGGAATGGTCTCTTGGCAGAAAAGTAAAAAATCCAAAAAATCGCTTAAAAATACGCCAATAAAAATGTGAGTTAAAATATTATTGTAATGTGTATTCTTTTTAATTTTTCATATTTCTTCAATTTGACATGTTTTATTGAAGTTTACATTTTTTATACCATCAGCCATATGGCTACAGAGGGTATTTACAATTTGATACGGCCAAAATGTGCCTAGTCGAAATAACGGTTTTTTCTCTTTGGACCAAATCCGTTTTGCCCGTCCGTCTGTCTGGCTGGCTGGTGCGCACGATAACTCTCGAAGGGAGTATCCGATTTGGTCCAAATAAATAATATTTTTGTCAAACTTAGATCGAGTTCGGAGATGGGCAATATCGGTCCACTCCTTCTGGTACCTCCCCCACAAAAGGTCGAATTTTTCAAAAAAAAAATATTTTTCTTTTGAACAGAAAGAGAAAGGATAATCCGATTTTTCTCCAACTTTGCAAATCCTAATATTTTCGTCAGTGCTAGGTCTAGTGCGAATATGGACAGTATCGACCCAATCCTTCTGGTAACTCCCCCACAACATCGACAGACTTATAGGGTTTTGGTACAGCCTCCATATAACGGTACCTCCTGATATTTGCCAATTTAATGATTTTTACACACGGATTTGTCTGAAAATTGGTATTTGTAGGTCATAATGGGTTCTAACTCCTTTGACGTAACATTGCATGTGTAGGTCCACGGTTTGGTATAGCCCCCGTATAACGGTACCTCCCGATATTCGGCATTGTAATGCTCTTTGCCACATTTCTTCTAAAAAGTCACAATGAAACCATCACACGCTACCCGAATGTTGCTCTGCGGTATTTTGGCCCATTCCCGCCGAAGCGCTTGCTTGAGGTGATCGCCATTTTAGTATTTTTCAATGCCAACCTTGCTTTCCAAAATACTCCAGACACATTATTTCAATGGATTGGTATCCAGAGATTTAAGTGGCCATTATGCGTTGGAAAGTAAGCGAGGAACCTCATTTTGTAACCATTCTTGGGTGGCGCGTGCTGAGTCCTGTTGGAATGTTCAAGCTGTTCGGCCAAAATGTTTGCGTGCCCAAGGCTATAATACATCCTCCAGAATATTTTAGCGATAATATTCGACATTTATTCTGATGCCACGGTCGATTAATACGAGAGCGACCATCTGCTCTTATGGCGGCCCACACCATCACCATGGGCGGCGCTTGAGTACTGGTGACCAACCGAAGGTGCACATTTTCAGCTGACCTCTTTGGCAAGTAAACACGATCATTTTGTTTGTTTACAAACTGCCGGATAATGAATGTTTTCTTATCGAAGGAAACCAAATTCGGCAGTTCACCTATTTTGGCCAAGCGGAGCAACTGTTTAGCTCTTTTGAGTCTATTTTCTTTCTGTTGCGGTGTAAGTTCTTGCACTTTTTGGAATTTCAATGGCTTTACCCCGAGCTCATTTTTCAATATTTGCCGAATGGAATATTGCGATATGTTCAGCTCACGAGCCATTTACGTTACCAGTATCACGGTATCAAGCGATGGTGCGAGACACAAACGATTTATTCACATTTAAATGCTAGAGTGCTCTAACGATAGCCAATTGTCGTTTTCCAGCCAAATATAAAGAAATCACACTATCACGATCGATAGTGTACGCTTGTAAACATTACAATGAGCTATCACTGGAATAATTTTAATAGCTGTCGGACGAGTGACTTAGAAATGACAGCGGTCTGAAGTTGGTTGCAATTTTTTCATCTCACTTTGTATATTATTTCTCTTTGTTTGACAAAATTTGAATTTGAGACTCAAAATCTACGATTTTCCCAAAAGTTCTCTTTTTACGATAGTGGGCTTATTTGGTTTGACAGTACAAGGAAAATGCCAAAGAGTGATCCGCTATTTCTCCTCTTCGACATTTATCTATGTTTGATTAAAATCTTACACAGTTATCTTGCGCACCAACCAGACCGACAAAGGTCGGAAGAAAGTCGTATGAATTTATGTTTTAATGCTCCTCTTGTTCAAGTCGTTTCGTGAGGAAATTCATCAAAACTGAAAATGCAAGGATAATATATAATATATTCGGCACAGACATTGGAAAAGGCTCTGAATCTTTTAATCAACACTACGACGATGTATGGAGCTCCGATGTAGCCAGATATAGGTGTTAGTTAATTCGAACATAACATGCAAGTTTTCATAAAAAATGTTCAAATTGGACTTTGGGTCTCTGTGCCCTGTCCGTCCTGGACAGGGTGATTCAAATTCTTTTGTCCCGGCTTAAATTCTGTAAATTTTGAAAAGGCAGGTATAATCTTATGCATTTTTAAAGTTCAGCCTAAATTTGTAACCGATTCAGGTTTTATATTGATATTTGCGGCCCTTAGTAGATTGTATTGCTTTAAAGCCATCATTTTCGGGGTTTAAAGGTTTCAGCAATTGTAATTTGTCATTACGAACCACTTTAGCAGATATCATAGCTAGGTTCTCATACCACTGAACCACATTCTAGGTAAGGTCCAACCATGGTAAAATTAACATGTAAAAAAGTTGTAAGTTCGGTCGGACCGAACTTTGAATACCCTCTACCATTTGGTACAAATTTGGCAATTTTCAAAAAAAAAAAAAAAAAAAATAAATAAATAAATAAATAAAATCCATTAAAAATTCTGTTAAAATCTTAAAAATACCGAATGTAGCCGTATATTAGGGTCTATACGACGACGTGGACGTGCATAGGCAACTTTTGTCATAAGGTATTATAATATTCAGATGCTTAACTTCTTAAAAAATCTGTTTATAATGTAGCTAAAATAAAAAATATAGAGTACAGGGAGGTACAATACGTGGACCTGCATAGACAATTTTCTGGCATAGGCTGTAGTATCCATTACGAACTTCAAATACAAAATTTTAAATAATTCAGGTAAATAATTTCGCTAAAATCATCCAAATAATGAATATCGGCTGTGCTATTTTATGGCTGTGCTATTATATGGGGGCTATACGAAGACGTGGACCTGTACACACAATCTCCTGTCATATGCTGTAGTATCCATTATGAACTTCAAATACTTCAAAGACGTAGATCTGTATGGCCCATTTCATGTCTGAGGCTGTAGTATCCATTATGAACTTCAAATACTAAATTTGAAACAATTCCAGTAAATAATGTCGCTTAAATCATCCAAATAACGAATATCGGGGTACCGTTATACGGGGGCTACACGAAGACGTGGACCTACATAGCCCATTTTCAATACCAAAAGTCCTGTAGACATAATACACATTTGAGTGAATTTTTATCAACTACTTTATTTCGTTCGGAAGCTAGAGTGATTTCCACAGACGGACGGACATTGACAAATCGACATAGAATGTTATGCTAATCAATAGGTCTATAATGTGTATTTCGAGGTGTTACAAACGGAATGACAAACTTAATATACCCTCCATACTATGGTGGAGGGTATAAAAAGGTAAATTCATTTCAAATGAGCATACCCATCTCGGCATTTTCTGTAATTTACCAAATTTCACTGCATAGAAAACAGATTCTCACCTCTGATTTTTTAGGTACAATCATGGTAGAATAAAAGGGTAAGGTAGAGCTAACATCTGATTAAAATTTTTTCTAAGTGTGCCCGACTTCTGCCAATATTGTTTATGCATTTATTGTTTTGAAAAACAAAAACAAAATATTTTCAAAATTAATGATTGGAAGAAACGTAAATTGCGGGATGCACATTAAAGCTATTCGCAAGTGTTGCCATGGAATTGAAAGATCGAACAGTTTAGACCATATTTTTGAAAGAAAATCCAGGCATTTCATTCATTTGAGGAAAAATAGATAATAAATGGAAACAACTTGTTGAATGTAAATTTGACAGGAAGCGGGCATAGCCTCAGGGGTGTATTTCTATAGTTGTACGAAACTGTTCTACCTCCTTATTGTACCATGGGTACAATGAATTCATTTTGGCAATGAGATGTTGCCAAATTAAAAATTTTGAAAAAATTGTAAACATATGATTGCATGACTTGTCCTTCTTAATTCTGCTATGCAAATAATTGCTTGGTAACATACGAATCAGACAATTCTTTAGCCCAACGTTTTATGAATCTCAAAGCCCTATTTGCTTTATTAACCATAGGTAAAATATATTTTAGGATGCATTAAGAGGGCAAAGAATCCCGCGGGTGACAAAATGATCCGGTTCTCATCCTTTTTAAAATTGAAAATTTTATTTCTTTTCATTTTAAATCAAGGCAAGGCAAAGAGAGTCCCATGCGATGTCAATTCGTTCACCAACACAATTGTTTTGAATTTTCTGTCAAAATGCTTTTGGTACAATGTTGGTCTTTTTCAGAACTGCAAGAATGTAAAAATGTTTTCTACGATTACCGATTTTCACTTTACAAAAATAGTAGATTCTTGGAGGTTTGGGAACAGATACTTTATTCGAGCAATCGATGAAATACGCATTTATCTTTGCCAATTCTCATGTTATAACCACTAAAAGTTGCTTGAAAACAGATATTTTAGAAATGAAACTATCAAAATATTTCTCTCGGAAATACTTCAAATATTTTTTTGTTTTTTAATAAACATCCAATCGCAATATAAAGTCTATGCTTAAATAAAATAAAAAGATTTTTCCAAAACCATTTTCACAGAAAATAATTTATTTTTTACAATTGTGTTGATAAACCCGCTTATATCCCTTGCCCTGTTCTAAATCCGTCAAATTTGCAGTGTACTATGGAAATACGTTATTACCATCAAATTGCAATGAATCTAATTGTTCTCTAGACTAGTGGGTTATAAACATCGGGGTCTATTGATGCACTGAGCCGTAATAACAAAGCTATTTTTTCTCTCTCTTTGCCTTTATCAGCCTTTGTTTAACAAGAGGACATTTTCAGTGTGACGAGATCTAAAAAACGTTGTGGCTAAGTCAGCATTAAAATAAAGCTAAAACACATATTATAACGTCAAACGTTAATGCTAGGTTTAAAACATTAAGTTAGGGCGGGCCGAACTTTTAATACCCTCCACCATTGGGTAAAGAAAACATTTTGATATAAAAGTACCTGAATTCAAGCATGTTCCACTTAAGCTACATATACCAGTAAGACCGTTTGAATAATGCATTTAAACTTATCAAAAAACCATCAAGTGAGTGGGGCTGTTATATGGGGGCCATACCAGAACGGGTACTTATATATACAATTTTATATTACAACGATTGTTATCTATTGCGAGTCTTAAATGCCAAATTTAAAAAAGTGGGTAAATGTGACTATGGTTATCCAAAGACCGAATATCGGTGGGTACCGTTATATGTGCGCTTTAGGAAACCATGGACCTAGATATTCAATGTTTTGCCACCGGAGCGAGAACCCATTATGTACTACAAATACCACTTTTTAGACAAACTCGTGGAAAAATGTGGCAAAAATCGTTGTATGGAGGCTATACCAAAACGTGGACCCATATATACCATGTTCCGCCACCGCCACCGGAGCTAGAACCCATTTCGAACTACAAATACTAATTTTTAGACAATTCCGTGGAAAAATATGGGAAAAATCATTCAAATAACGAATATAGGGAGATACCGTTATATGTGGGCTATACGAAATGTGTTGCCGACATTTGAAGCTCTGCGTCAAATAATGTGGACTGTATCGTGATTTCAAAAGACAGACGGACATCGTTAAATCGACTTAGAATTTTATGCTGATTATGAATATATATACATTATGGGGTCTACGACGAATATTCAGGGATGTTACAAACGGAATTACATAGTTAATATACCCTCCTTTCCAAGGTGGAGGGTATAAAAAGGGTTTTGTTAATAATGTGATTACAAATAATCATAAATCAAATAATTATACCCTCAGCCATATGGCTAGAAAGGGTATATACAATTTGATACGGTCAAAATGTGCCTAGTCGAAATAACGGGTTTAGCCCCTATGTCTCTTTGGACCAAATCCGTTTCAGAACATTTGGAGTCGATTCAGCGATGTCCGTCCGTCTGTCTGGCTGGCAGGTTCGCACAATAACTCTCGAAGGGAGTATCTGATTTGGTTCAAACTTGGTATATCGGAGTTCGGAGATGGACAATATCGGTCCACTCCTTCTGGTACCTTTCCCACAAAAGGTCGAAATTTTCGAAAAATATATTGTCTGCACAGAAAAATAAAGGATAATCTAATTTTTCTACAACTTTGCAAATCCTAATATTTGCGTCAGTGCTAGGTCACGTTCGAAAATGGACAATATCGGTCCACTCCATCAAGTACCTCCCCCACAAAGAGTAAAAACTTTTAATAATTACAAGTCTTATAAAATGTGACGTAAGATTCCGATTGTCTTCAAATTTCACATATACCAATGTTTATATTAATCCAAGGTCTGGTGTTAAGATGGAATATATCGGTCCACTCCTTCTGGTCAAAATTTAAAAAAAAAAAATATATATATTTTCTGCACAGAAAAGGAAGCAATAATCCGAAACATTATATGTGTATGTCCACGATTTTGTGTAGCCCCCATAAAACGGTACCTCCCGATATTCGCTATTTCTATGATTTTTGCCAAATTTTTCCGCGGATTTGTATAAACATTGGTATTTGAAGTTCATAATGGGTTCTAGCTCCGGCGACAGAACATTGAAAATTTAGGTCCACCTTTTCCTATCACGCACATGTAACGATACCCACCAATATTTTGTATTTTGATAATCCTAGTCACATTTACCCACGAAATTGTTTCAAATTTGTTATTTTGAAGAAGATTTGGTAGATGAAAATAAAATTGTTTATGGAGGTTCCTGTTTTGCTATGGCCCTCACAAATGGCCTCACCCATTTTATGGTGTTTTATGGAATTTAGATAATTTATGTAAAAATGTTTTTTTTTTTACCCAAAGGTGGGGGGTAATAAAAGTTTTTTTACTTGTTTCTTTTACTAGCCTCTCTGCGACTGCCACACAGGATGTCACACTGAATGTATGATTTGCGACTCACAATTTTTATATCGCCTGGGCTTAATTTCAGGTACAGAACACTACGGCACAGTACAATATTTTTTTTTTCGAACGCTGGGAAAGGGCGAATAAAAGAGAATGATTACTTTCTTCTAGATCATTCCCTGTATTCATAAACTTATTTTGCCATTTTTGCATTTCTTTACTCGAAAATCGTTCCATTCAGAACGAGAAAACTCAAAATTATTTCAAGAGCATTTTGTGGAAAAGATTTTTTACATAAATGTACAACAATATGACGTATTACAATACTTTGTTTATATAAATTATTTTATTATAGCCAAATAATCACCTTTAAATAAAAACTTCATTAAAAAACCACGAAAAATCACATTATATCGCAAAATGTGTGAAGTAATGTGAAAGTTGGACTTTGTGATTCGAGCTCAACACTATCACGATACGATTTTTATAAAATTGAAAAAAATCTTAATCTCTTTGATCGTTCAAATATAAAAAAACATTTCGTAAGCACTTTGCACTGTGCTAATTTTGTTCAACATAGAAGTATTTTTCCAGTCTCCGATGGAAATTTCAAAGTTTGTCTGAATCTACGACATGTCTTCATAAAATAGGAGAACCTTATATATTTATATTAACGACTAATAATAATACGAATATTTTCTATTTTTTAAATATATTTTTCTTCCCTTTCAGGATAACTTACAATACTCTTCGAAATATATCTACGAAAAAACGGAACAAATAATTTAAATATATCTCAAAACAAAAAAGAAAAGAAAACCAAATAACATATACTGTGTATATACGAATCGGAAACGGAACATTATTTGTTTAGTTCTATTATGAAACATTGAATGTGATATTTGAAATTACAATTTTACATCCATTAACAAAAGCAATCGCTCGAAAGAGGACAATTTTTAGCCACATACTTTTTCATAAATACCACACCACACCATAACCAACCCACCCCACTCCAACCAACACACGCATACGTTAGCACATTTGTAAGATCCAATCAATTCAAGGCACTCACCAAAGATCTGCACAGACAAAATGGCTGAAAAGGTCGAACAAAGCCAGCAAATGAACAGCGCTCATAATGAGGGGCGAAAAATTCGCAAATCTCCAGAATTCCAACCCCAGCAACAGGTCATTGTACCGGCCAGTATAACTCGAGAAAGAAGTTTTGTGCGAACCTCCAACCAACAGGTAAGAATTTGCGACACACACCAGGCACCCATTCCTAATCTCAGTGTTTTTTTACAGAATACAAATAAAAGACGTAGCTTGGCGTTTAATATTCAGACCGGCAGTACCAACCAGGGTGGACAATTGAGAAGCAAGCCGACAATGGACATTTACAGACCTCCGAGTAAGTTAAGGCACAACTATTTTTGCTGTCGAACATTTGCGTATTTCCTAACAACTCTGATGCCTCGGTGAAACGCGATTATATTTGGCTTTGTCACTCTGTAACAAAATCTCAGATAAGGATATAACGAGTTAAATGACAGTATTAAAAAAGTATTCCTTATTTTGTTATATTATATAGAGTGTAAAAGTTAATTAATGTGATGATATTTTACTGGGCTCTTGAATAGAAAATACACAAGAGGTCTCCATAGAGTTATAGTCTCATGATAAAAAACATTGACACGTGGTCTCTGTCGTTCCCACTTTAAACCGACCGAGTAACAGTTTGAAGTATGACTGATTTAAGTTAGTTTCTAAATATTTCCCTTTTTTGGGTTTGAAATATAGACGGTGAGACGAGGGGAAAGTGGAGATTTGCACACTATGGGTAAAACGGTCATCTGACGTTTACGTTTAGCAGCGAACACGAATTGTCAATTTACAGAAAAGTGACTAGAAATCCTTTGTGGGTTACTATGAAATTGAGAGATAGCTCAAGAAATCAATATTCAATAGTTTCAGAAAAAACAATTTGGAACCACTGTGCGTCATTTATATCCTAAAACAAAAAAGCCACAAATCAGACGGCACCTTTATGTAGGGACTATACCAAAGACTTAAAAATGACAAACTTAAAATAGTTTCCATACTATAGTGGAGGGCATAAATTGCCTTCGGATGTAGATAAAAAAAAGTGTAACTCATAGTAAAAACTGAATAAAAAATAAATCAAATGACAAAAAGCCGTAGCAACAAATATAAACAAGTCAAAAAGTAGCTAAGTTTGGCCGGACTGAACTTTTTATACCATCCACCATTTGGAAGAAACTTGAAAAATGTCCAAAAAATTCTGTCGAAAAATACTCCTCAAATGAAACAATTCTGGTGAATAATATCGCAAAAATCATGAAATTACCGAATATCTGGGGGTACCGTTATATGGACGCTATTCTAAAACGTGGACCTATTTAGACGATTCTCTTCTAGGGGGTAAAGTACTCAGAAGGAACCCCTTATATCGATTTTACAACAATTACATAATTGGCTGAAATCACCAAAATACCGAATATTGTGGGGGTTGCCGTTATATGGAAGGTATACGATGCCGTGGTCAATTCTCTGCCAGGCGGTAAAGTGCTCATAAATAACTCCTTGTGTGGATTTTCATACAATTCCATTGACAAATGTGGCTAAATTCATCAAAATACCGAATATTGGAAGTTGCCGTTATATGGGGGATATACGATATCGTGGACCGATATAGTCCATCTTCGAATTTGACGTGCCTGCAGTCCAAAAACAGATTAGATTTAGCTTCCTATCTTTATTCGTTTTGACTGTAGCGTGATTACAACAGACGAACGGGGCTGAATCGTCTTAGAATTTTACGCTGTTCAAGAATATATATACTTTGTTTTGTCTAAAATAGTATTTCGATGAGTTACAAACGGAATGACGAACATAATATACCCTCCATACTATGTAGGGGGGGGGGCATAAAAATACTTTTAAGATATATTATTGCACTTAATGCTCTTCCTACGGACACTTGATAGAATTTTTTCTTTAGATGGCAGATTTTTCAGTAGTTGCATGTGTCGCACACAAAACTCACGCACAACCGGTAAAATGGGTGATCGCAATTAATCGCGAACGTTCGTTAATTGACGATGATTTCAATGGCCAACGCAATGAACGGTCGCGCTCGTTTGTAACGGGTGTGCGAATATTCATTCGTCTGGTAAAGAATTTATCGCCTTAAAATACAATTGCAATATGAGCTCAAGTGAGAAGATCGTATTTTTAATAGTTCGCACGCGAATTTTTAGACACCCGGGTTGTAACCACGAACGAATTTAGATAGAAGGCCAGCATATTGCACATATGTATATTTTGTCAGTAGGCAAATGGGTCATGTCGGTCAACGTTTTCGTATAGCCCCCTATGACGGTACCTCCCGATATCCGTTATTTCGGAGTAGTTTAAAATTCAAAACATAAAGATGTAGAGCATTGTCTGTAACCACGGAAGTGTTTCAAATTTGATATTCACTATAGATCCCGACCACAGTAGCGTACAATTGTCTATGTCTTTCGTTTCACTATATGAAAGTACCTTCCCATACTCAGTCTTGTCTATGTAGGTTCAGGTTTGTTTGTATAGCTCCTCCTCCTACCTTATGATATTTTTAGTTTTTAATTTCGCATTCTCCAATCCATTTTACTAGCATTTACAGTATAAAATGGAACTGGGCTCCAATTCTCCAATTCTATGAAAGTGTGAAATGAAAACTTTTATAAAGGAAAGAAATGTCAAATGAAAAATTTTATTAAGAAAATATTTATCATTTCATATTTTTATAGAACAATAATCCAGCCCCTGGTTCGAATATTCATTCTCGATGCTGTTATTTTTAAAGTTTTTTATACCCTCCACCTTGGAAAGGAGGGTTTCTAACATCCTTAAATATTCGTCGTAGACCCCATAAAGTGTATATATTCATAATCAGCATAAAATTCTTAGTCCGTCTGTCTGTCTGTCACGATACAGCCCACATTATTTGACGTAGAGCGCCAAAATTTAGCAGAGAAATTTGTATTGTGTCTAGGATGGTTGGTATTGGTTGGTATACCCGATATTCGGTATTTTGATGATTAATGCACATTTTTTCACTGATTTGTTTGAAAATTGTATTTGTTGGTCATAACGGGTCCCTGTACGTGTGGCAAAACATGGCATGAAAAGGTCCACGTTTTGGTATAGCCCCCATATAAAGGTACCTCCCGATATTCGGTATTTTGATTATTTTTGCCACATTTTTTCACGGATTTGTCTACAAATTGGTATTTGTTGGTCATAATGGGTTCCAGCTCCGGTGGCGAAACATTGCATGTATGGGTCCACGCTTTGGTATAGCCCCCATATAACGGTACCTCCCAATATTCGGTATTTTGGTGATTTTTGACACATTTTTTCACGAATTTCTCTGAAAATTGGTAGTTGCAGATTATAATGGGTCCCAGTTCGTGTGGCAAGTCATTGAAATTATAGGTCCATGTTTTGATATAGCCCCCATATAATGGTACCTCCCGATATTCGGTAATTTGGTGATTTTTGCCACATTTTTTCACGGATTTGTCTGAAAATAGGTATTTCTAGGTCATAATGGGTTCTACCTCCTTTGGCGAAACATTGCATGTGTAGGTCCACGATTTGGTAGTGCCCCCATATAACGGCACCTCCCGATATTCGGCATTTTAATGGTTTATGCCACATTTCTTCTAATGTTTCCTTTACCCTAAGGTGGAGGGTATTAAAAGTTTGGCCCGGCCGAACTTAATGTTTTTTACTTGTTTTTTTCTTTCATTGTGGAGGTTATTAACATTTCAGTCCGGTTGAACTATACGTTTTTTTACTTGCTATAAGTTGTGAAAACCGAAAGACCTGTTTAAATATGACAATATCTGGTCCAGATAATTTATAAACTTAGACAAATCTCCTTATAAGGTATTTTTGTACTTCTCAAAAACTGTGGTATTGAAGTGTGTTCGAAATTCGATTTGTTCAAAGTGATATCCTTAAAAAGTCATTCGCCACACCTTCGCAGCAAAAATTCACTAAAGAAACTAGGATTTCAGATTCATGTTGTGTTTGAAAGGAAATGCGATTTATGAAACTCGAAATTATGTTCATAATGTACTCAAGTCCATTTAGAATAATACAAAAATTAAAGATATATTGTTTTTGATATCATGGCCTGCATTCATTTCGCTTCAAATGCCGCAGCACATCCCTCTGAAAAGCATTGAACATTATTATTTTCTTTTACAAAATTGTTAAATCTATTTTCTTCTCTTTTTTTCCTTCTCGTTCCATATCCATTTACCCTTTCTTTTATTTGTTCTCTCGATATTAAATATTGCCAACCGATACAATGCGTGCAAATATTATCTATTTTCATTGTAATGTGTACACGTGTGTTTGCGCCTTTGCATGTGTGCGTGTGTGTATATGTTATCCTATTATGTCCATCGATCGTCCTTTTATGGTTTCGATATTTCACATTTTCGCATACACATTCGTATGTGTATGTATGCACAGATGTCCGTAGTGTCAGTGCCTGCGGTCAAACCTTTACACCAGCAGCAACAGCCACACCCACACCCACACCCACAACTATCGATCAATTGAGCAATTGGTAATTAGAACCATATAATGTTGTGTTGAATCTCTTGTCTTTTACTTACAGAGCTGAACTATAATCTGCAACATTCTTCCAGTTCATCCATGGTCTTTCCCAACTCACCAACCGGCTTACAACAACAAATGCAATATGTGGCTGCCAATAACGCCATGGTAAATAGGCGTCAGGCAGGACTCTCTGTGGGAAGTATGCCCTTGGGCACACTTAATCCCAAGGCGCACCCAATGGCCACAACAGGCCATCGCCCCATTTTGGTAACTCACTCGCATCCAATGCAAATGGGCCATATGCCTCAACAGGTGCCCCTGATTAATTCCCCATCCAGTGGCAATATACTGCATGTAAGTGATGTGGTCTTTTTCTATTGATGACAGACAACCGCATCCCTAATTCAAACTTGTATTTTACAGCAAGCAACGGCAAATCGCGTCAAATTCGCCCCAGAACCACAGAAAATGCACCACAACAAGGGCCAAATGAATATGGTGCAGATGAACAACAACATCAATCAAAGTTATAAGCAGCAGATGAATCCCATGGCGCCCTATATTATGGGCAACAATCAAATGTCAAATGGACCCATGGATCCCTATGTAACCATGAATATTTCGCCATTACAGCGTTCGAAATCCTTGTCGTCGGCTGATGCTTTGACACGCGGCATTGCTGGCCTCGGTCTTGGCTTGGGCAATGAGGTCACCGATATCGGCCCATTTCCCCCCGAAATTCAGGGTCTCATCGATACCGCCCTGGAAGATCCCAACAAATTGAATTCTCGCAGTCTTATGGAGTTGACTTCTCACTTCATTAAACGGGCTGTGGAGGGGCGTCGGTTCGCATTGCCCATTGCTCGACTCTGTCTGAATATTATTGCCAAGGAACAGAAAGAGACATTCTTGGAAGCGTTGCTGAATACATGTCGTCAATGGTATCAAGAAAGAGAAAAGGTACGCTATGATCAGGTTCTATGTTATTTTCGTTAAGGGATTACAAATGACTACACATTTTTGCATGGTATAGATGGAAGAAACTGTATGAGGCATGTCTTCGGTAGTTGTCAATGTTTTATCAATCCTATCAACATAGGTATCAAATGAAAGGTCTCAACAAGTAGAATAGAATTTACTTTGCAAAACTGAAATCTACGATGACCGCCGTTATTAAATGGCTGATAATAATTTTTTATCAATCCCATTAATATGGGTATCAAATAAAAGGGCTTGACAAGAAGAATACAGTGCACTAAACCTAGCTATTGGAAATTCGGAGAGCAAGAAAATAGTAAATAATTTCCTCACAGTCTGCGGGTCAACTGCCTAACAACGAATTAAACGATTCTTCTATCGCACATTAAATCGATAATTTGTAGAGAATTGACGTGCCCCACGGTTTTGTTTTAGTCTAACCCTATATATATGTTCATAATTACCACGACTGTATCTATTTTACTTTATTTTATTTTTTTCTTTTGGTTTTTAGTAAATTTATCTTTAACATTGCAATGTATGTTTAACAAAAAACCGTTTAACTTAAAAAGTTTTTTACCTATTTTTTAAGTAGAGCTCAAAACCTTTTCACACTTACCAAAATGTAAACATTTTCTAAATGCCATGCGCTCAAAAGTCGCCACTATATTTATGTGGATTGGCATGATTTTGTGCAAATTTATGTGTTCGATAAAGCAATTGTTTGTAACAACTTGTACAAATTATTGCCATGGTCGGTCCGAACTTTTAATACCCTCCACTATTTAGTACAAATTTGACAATTTCAAAAAAAAAAAAAAAATAAAATCCGTTAAAAATTCTGTTAAAATCGTAAAAATACCGAATGCCTATACGACGACGTGGACCTGCATAGGCAACTTTTGTCATAAGTTATTACAATATTTTAATGCGAAACTTGAAGAAAAATCTGTTTATAATGTAGCTAAGATCATCAACACACCGAATATACGGGGTACCGTTATATGGGGGCTATACGAAGACGTGGACCTACACAGACAATTTTCTGGCATGGGCTGAAGTATCCATTACGAACTTCACATGCGAAATTTGAAACAATCCCGGTATATAATGTCGCTAAAATCATCAAAATACCGAATATCGGAGGTACGGTATATGGGGGCTATACGAAGACGTTTACCTACATGGCCCATTTTCTGTTTTATGCTGCAGCATCTATTACGAACTTCAAATGCCAACTTTGAAACGATTCCGGTAAATAATGTCGCTAAAATCATCAAAATACCCAACATCGGGGGGTATGGTATATGGGGGCTATATGAAGACGTGGACCTACATGGCCCATTTTCTGTTTTATGCTGCAGTATCTATTACGAACTTCAAATACCAAATTTGGAACGATTCCGTTAAATAATGTCGCTAAAATCATCAAAATACCGAATATCGGGGGGTACCGTTATATAGGGGCTAAACGAAGACGTAGACCTACACAGATTATTTTCTGTCTTAGGCTGTAGAATACATTACGAACTTCAAATGCCAAATTTGAAACAATTCCGGTGAATAATGTCGCTAAAATCATCAAAATACCGAATATCGGAAGGTACCGTTATATGGGGGCTATATGATACCTTGGACCTACATGGCCCATTTACGAACTTAACCTGCCTACTGGCAAAAAAAATATACATGTGTGCAAAATTTTAGCCTTCTATCTCAATTTGTTCGAAAGATAGCGTGATTACAACAGACAGACACACAGACAGACAGACGGACATGGCTACATCGTCTTAGAATTTTACGCTGATCAAGAATATATGTACTTTGTTGGGTCTGACATGAGTATTTTGAGGAGTTACAAACGGAACGACAAAATTAATATACCCTCCATAGTATGGTGGAGGGTATAAAAAAAATATAGACAACGAAATGCTCTCACCGTTTATCTTCGAAAAAAATCGAATCAGCAGATGTCGTCTATATCGTTTCAGGGGTTTGAGTGAGAATATTAAAGTCACTCAGTTCTAAAACGTTAAAAATATGAAAAACTGTAGAACATTTGTCAGTTGAAAATTGTTCCATAATAAAAGAAATGGGAAAAGTACGTGATGACATCAAATATTCCGGAATAATCAAGTGAAATTCTTGAAAAACGATCAAATGTGTTTTCGAAGTCGAGTGGGTTGAACGCGTAAATCAGCATGTTGACTATGCAAAACATGATGAGAGCCACCTGGATAAAAATACAAAACTAACCTTTCGTTATCTATGTCTTCATTTGTCTATGCGAACACTCTCAAGTAAATGAGAATCACACTCACTTCTTGCCTTTCCCAAAAATCATAATAACAAATACATGACTCTTGTAGAGAGTAATATGTGGTTATATGTAGTTAAGCCAATTGGGGAATACACCAGACTTAAGCAAACGCAGTTTATAAGTTTAATAAGCTGATTTTCAATCTACGGTGGTGTGGCCGTGGTAAACAATTTTAATGATTTGAAACTTTAAATTACCTATATACCCTATATTTTTCAACACAACAGAAATTCTTAATATTATTATAGCATCAAATAGAAATTCTCTAGAATTTTGAAATTCTAGCCTTCAAGAAATTTCCAACACATTTACAGTAAAAATATATTTAATTATATGTTTTTAACAGCACAGGGTTGCCCATATTCCACGGACCCATCTGGCAACGCCATAACTTTTGACAGAGATGTCACATCGCTTAATGACATACCGCGTTTGAAGCGTCAGTCCAAGCAGATTTTTACCATGAACCAATATACGCCACGCGAGCGCTCTGAAATAGTTGAAATTTACGTTCAACAGAAGAAGTCAATTGTGAAAACTCAACGTGCTTTTAAAACATTAAAAAATGTGAGAAGTGCGCCTTCTAAGGGACCGTAAATAAGCAAAATTGCCGTTTTTACGCCACTGAAAATCCTCAGGAGATTCAAGAAGTGCCTCTTCATAACGAAAAAGTCACAGTTTGGTGCGGCGTTAGTGCGAAAACGGTCATTGGGCCGTTTTTCTTCCAAAATGAAAATGGCCATGCTGTTACCATCAATCAGGAGCGTTATCGCGACATGATGACCAATTTTGTGATGCCAATAATTCGTCGAAAGTGTATGAGGCAGTTCTGGTTTCAACAAGACGGCGCTCCACCGCACACAAGTCGCATAACAAAACATGGGTCCGTCGAATATGGGCAACCCTGTATGTTATGGGGAACTAATAAAAAATATTTATGTTTCGAAACAAATTCCTAATTTTGGATGCAGAACATGTTGAACCGAAATTACGGGTGGCAGCAAACTCCAGCTGAAAGCGGGCATAGCCTTAGGAATACAGCTCTAAGGCTATGCCTGCTTTCTGTCAGACTAATTCAAAATTCATATTTTTCCTGATTTTTTAATTGAGTTGAATAGCCCGAAAAATGAATAAAATGTCTGGATTTTCTCTCAAAAATATGATCCAAACCGTTCAATCTTCCATTTCAACTGGTTTATAGATTTAATGTCAAATTCCATTCCATTTGGGCTAATATTATACGTTTGGTGCACAATAAAAGGGAAATCAGAGGAAGATATATATGGGAGCTATATCTAAATGTTGACCGATTATCTCCATGACATTTGCAAAATTTTATTTGGATTGGGTCATAAATGCGACATGTACTAAATGTCTATCCCGATTCCTTTTGCCTGTTACAACCAATGGCACAAAGACATAATACCCTGACCACCTTGTGGTTTAGGGTATAAACAGGCTGCTATATTTTACAAAACAAAAACAGTGGATGTGGATTTTTTTTTTTCAAGGTAAAGTAACAGCGACCTATATTTCCCTAAAGCTGCAAAATGTAGAATACTTTATGTATATATGCAGTTTGTTTACAATTTGAAAGGGGTGTTTCTTTTTCCACGACTTGAAATGTTGAGAGATTTGGACCAACAGTTAACAACTATACATTCAGGGAAATGATATGAAGGCACTGAAATTAAATATTTTAAGAACCATCCTTCTGCATTTTAAACTTAAAAATCCCAATTCCAAAAATGTATATTTTTAAAATTAAAATAATTTATTGAAAAATTAATTGTTTTTTTTTACATAATGGTAGAAATAAGAAGGCACAGCACACATATGTTTACATTTTTTTTTTCAAATTTATGCATTTGACGACAACTCGTTGTCAAAATCTATATTCATAAATCCATTGTGTACACACAAAACCAGAGATGGGAACTGTTTTTTATGCATTACAATTTGACAAGGTAAATAACAGAAAATGCTGAGCTGGGAATTCATAATGAATCATTCATGAATCCTCAAAACACCTTCGAAGTTCATGAGATCTGTACGATAACTTTTTTGGAAAACAATTAATTAGTAACTACTGCTAAGAGACATATACATACATTTATTGAGCGAAATTAAGTAAAACAAGTAAAATAGTATCAGTTGGTTTTGCCGACAGATTTATACCCCCAGCCTTGAGTTATGAACGTGGACTACTTCTGGTCGACTACTTCTTGTACTTTATATGAGATATGTGCACATTTTCGGAAAATGGAAATATGCATCAGGCAACAGATATAGCGGACCGAAGTATTCCATTTTCATACTTCATCTAACACAGATAAAATATATTGGTATGTGCAAAATTTGTAGGAAATCGAACATTCGTATCCAATTTTAAGCGAAATCATAAATTCCGACAAAATTCAGAATACTGGTTAAGAGAAATATTTAGATATAGCAAGTTGAAAAGAATCGCTGACTTGTTTCGCAAGTTATGACAGTTATAAGTTGGCCGATGTATATCAGGTACCAGAAGGAGTGGCCGATGTATTCCATCTTGGCACCGGACTTTGGGTTAATAAAATTATTGGGATGTGTGAAATTTAAAGACAATCGGTCTCTTACATCATCCAAGTCTGAATAGAATCGGATGTTAATTTTGCGTTTTATGAGTTTCATGGATACTCAAAATTTTGACCCTTTGTGGGGGAGGTACCAGAAGGAATGGACCGATATATCCCATCTTCACACCAGATCTTGAGTTAGTAGAAATAATGGGCCGTGTGTAATATGAAGAGAACCGGATGTTTATTTCGGATTCTTTGCTCGTTTTGATTATTAAAAGCGTAGGTCCTTTGTGTGGGAGGTACCAGAACGAGTGGTTCGAACCATCTTTATAAAAGATCTTGCGTTTATGAAAATATTGAGATGTGCCAAGTCTGAATGGAATCGGATGTTAATTTAGTGTTTGAAGAGCTTGATGGATATTAAAAATTTCGACCTTTTGTGGGGGAGGTACTTGATGGCGTGAACCGATATTATCCATTTTTGCCCCTGACCTAGAACTGACGTAAATATCAAGTTGGAACAAAATCGGATTATCGATTCTCTTTCTGTGCAGAAAATACATATTTTTTTGAAAATCTCGATCATTTGTGTGGGAGGTACCAGAAGGAGTGGACCGATATTGTCCATTTTCACACTTGACCTAGTACTGACGCAAATATTAAGATTTGCAAAGTTTGAGTAAAATCGGATTATCGTTTCTCTTTCTGTGCAAAAAAAAAAAAAAATTTTAAATTTCGACCATTGCTGCGGGAGGTACCAGAAGGAGTGGACCGATATATTCCATCTTAGCATCAGAACTTGGGTTAACATAAATATTGGGATGTGTGAAATTTGAAGACAATCGGACTCTTACATCACATTTTATAATAGTTGTAATTATTCAAAATTTTGACCATCTGTGGAGGAGGTACTTGATGGAGTGGGCCTATATTGTCCATTTTCACCCTTGACCTAATACTGACGCAAATTTTAAGATTTGCAAAGTTGGACCAAATTCGGATTATCGTTTCTCATTCTGTACAAAAAATAAATATTTTGAAAATTTCGACCTTTTGTGGGGGACGTACCAGAAGGAGTGGACCGATATTGTCCATCTCCGAACTCGATTTAAGTTTGACAAAAATATTACGATGTACCAAGTTTGCACTAAATCGGATATTCCCTTCGAGAGTTATCAGCACTTTTTATTTTTAAGCCCAAATAAATGAAACCATAATAATTAAATGTATTTTGTTTACTTCAAATATATTGTCAGCTATCTTTTTGTACAATTTCGCTAAGAAAAGATGATTTATTCTAATAAAAATTTAATTTTTGTCTATGAAGGCCCTCAACAATCCACATTCTTAAGAAAAGTACAATAAAGACGTCGAAACAGTTTAACTAAACAAAAATATTATATTTTAATGAATTAATTTATTATTATTATTAATTATTCTTACAAAAAAAAATTGGTATGCCGATAGTTGGAAAATGCTATACCGACAATTGGCAAGTGGTGCCGACTACTGGCAAAAAAGCATTGTTTTAATAAAACTACAAATTTATGAAATTTAATAAAAAGTTATTAAAACTTTATTTATTATTGCCAAAACTATACAAAATTTCGAATCTGAATAAATTAACTTTGTAATAATTGAAAAGTTCCACTCAGAATGGTGGGCGATCAAAAACGCGAAAATCCTAAAAGTGCCGACTACTGGTACACTTACCCTACCCTCTGTAGCCATATGCCTGAGGGAATAAAAATTATTATTATCAGTAAAGTTATGAAATGATGAACATAGAATTTTTTCTCGGTATCGCTACCTTCCCCCTACCTGCTCACATTTAGTGGAATTTTGAGTTACGAACATCACCCATTTACTTTCAAATTCAAATATTAATTGATTGTCATTAACAATAAATAACAAAGGGAACAAGTGAATGAAATATTGATACAGCGCTGTGATTAATCTATTTCGAAATACCAAATTATAGACGTCAATATTATTAGTTTAGTCTTCTTTTTATGTTCAAAACTATAGAACGTTTACAATTAACCGGATTTAGCCAACCCATTGGAATTGGAATTGTAATGCATATACGGCAAATAAATCCTCATCAACTTGTAATGTAATCATGCCCTTAAGCTAATCTAAAAATCTTGTTTTTTTCTTTTTTTTATTTCATAGCTTCTATTCACTATCCAAGGAATGAAGTCGCCATCACGGGCTCGCTTCACAGCTTTCATGGCATTTCTAACCGAAATGTTTTGTCAATTAAAGCGCCGTCAACTCCAGCTGAGCACGCAATGTGAGGGCGCACCACCACCATTGGTTCTCCTGACACTCTTGTCCAAATGTTGTGAAGATTGCGTTAAGCCTCCAGTTAGATCCCTATCGGAGGTAAATTGTAATAAAACCACATTGCAACGGCACAGTTGTATTCTTAATCTTACCGTTTCAGATTGAATGCTTGTTCTACGTTCTGACATGCATTGGACAAGATTTGGAAATGCAATTGCCGCAACAATTGGAGTTGCTGCTGTCGATGATACGTGACGCTTTTTTGAATGCCAGTGATTCGGCTCCAGCTATTCGACGAACCCTGTTGCAATTGATCGAGTTGCAGGCATCACACTGGCAATTGCCCGGCAATACGGTGCTCTATTATTACCCGTCGACCAAATAGGATGTGTCGCATATATCCGGGTCAATGTTTATAAAACCAAATTACTGATATCCGTTATTTGTTATTGTAGACTTTACTCACCTTTACACATCTACATCAACATTTACACTTTTCATATACAACACACACCCACATACATATGCCAACACACATACATATATCGAAGTAAAGAAATAGAAATACTGCATTTAATGCATTGATATGATGCCTACCTATGTTTTGTCGGAGCAATTGTCCTCCATTGAAAAGCCTGCAGCAGTATGAGTGCATATTCATAACTAATATTATATCCAAGTTATTAATGTTTAATTTTTGCTTCTCAGTTTACTAACCCAATGACATTATAATGCCACGAATATCCGTGCGTAATTCACTATTACTATTACTATGTTATTATATAGTTTATGTAGCATCTTAATATGATATTTATACATACATAAATACATACAAACATATTTATATCAAACCACAAGAATATCCTATTTGAGGCAAACGCAAATGCAACCCCCCCTACAAAAAGCATTGAAGCATTTTTGAGCTCAAAACTGTTTTGTTCACAACATTTTGTAGAGAAAATCAGAAGAAATGGAGATAAAAAAGAACTTACTAATCCAAATTATATTATTTTTAATAAAATGAAGAAACAAAAGAAAAAAAAAACAACAACAATCTAATACTAGTCAACAAATATATTTTTAAATAAAATTGATTTTAAATATAATAACAACTATAAACTTACAAACAACAATACGATAATTTTGTTTAAAAAAACGGTAAATGAAGAACATGTTACAGCCGATATGGTCCGAACAACGCTGAGAAATATTGAGGCTATACTTTAAAAATCATGTTGCCGAATGTATGGGAAAAGAAAAGTGCCGTCCGCACTGTATGTAAACAGGAAAAGTTGTTTTTTGTTAATTTTTTTATTTAATTTCATTAGGAGTTGTGCTAATTGTGGCAACGCCAATAAATTCAAATTCTATCACAAATTTGAAAAATAAAATTGAAAAATGTAGAGAAAATATATGAAGATCCTGCAAGATCCGCAAATAACTTCCCCGTCATACACATGCAGTTTTGGTGAGATTCTGCAATAAACGGCCAATCCTATCATTTTGTATTTATACCCTACACCACATAGTGGTAAGGGTATAGGAAACGAGATAGACCCATAGTTCCTTTTGGTGATCAGCATAGAATCACATTTTGAGTCGATTTATGCATGTCCGTCCGTCTGTCGGTCTGTCCATGTACTTTGTAGTTCGCATTTGTTATTCGATTGAGATGAAATTTTACACAAGTCATTTGCTTGGCCCAAGGACGAACCCTATTGAAATTGAAGATATATATATATATTACGGGTGCGGGGGACAAAAATAAAAAATCGGTTAAACAATATATATGGGAGCTATAGCTATATCTGAACAGATTTCGATTAAATTTGGCATACATTTTTTCAGACCTATTTTGGCTGATATTACACATTTGGTGCACAAAAAAGCAAATCGGACGAATATATATATATATATATATATATATATATATATATATATATATATATATATATATATATGCCAAATTTAATCGAAATCAGTTCAGATATAGCTATAGCTCCCATATATATTGTTTAACCGATTTTTTATTTTTGTCCCCCGCACCCGTAATATGCACTCTATAACTACAATACTTGGGGAAATATATCGAATACAGGTCAGAAATAACTTTGCTAAATTTTATCCAGATCGGGACAGATTTGGATATAGCTCTCATATATAATTTCGTCCGATTTGCTTTTTATTGTGCACCAAACGTGTAATATTAGACCAAATGGGATGGAATGTGGCACTTGCGACCGGATTTAGTCTAGAAGCTAGTACATCTAATTTCGTGAAGATCGGTTCAGATATAACCATAGCTCACATAGAAATCGTTCATCCGATTTGTTATATTTGTTCCCCACAGCCGTACACTGAAAGAAAAAGCTTCATACTATAAATGAAATCCTACGTTCCGTTAACGAAATTTGTTATTGATTTTGAACCAACGTAGAGGTTCATTGAATAAATGAAAAAAGTTCCATTGAGTTTCATTAATGTAAAATTAATGAACTTGTTTATTAATATAATGAAGATTCTTCCTTGATTCAGTGAAATTTGTCGTTGTGCATTTGTTTGTAACAGGTAGGAATACGCGAGATAAACCCTACTTTTTGGATGTTCTTTATAAAATCACGTTATGAGTCGGTTTATACATGTTAGCAAGTCTGACCGTCTGCCCATGTATTTTTATGAACAAAATGCAGATCGCCTTTATTGTCCAATTGATATAATTTTCGATGTATCATCTGTTTGGTCTAAGAACTAACTCCATTACCTAACGTTTCATCCATTTCATAAAACTGCTTCATAAAATTGGAGCACAAATTTAAATATAACAATTATCACAAATTTCCCACTAATTTAGTTGCGTATTTGTTTGTATAAGACAGCGCTATTTTGTATAATATCTTTCTATATTCACATTTTTTACTGAATTTTGTAAAAGTAAGTAGTTTCGTAACATTAATATATTCAATGGAACCAAAAATCATTGAATTTAAAAGCAACGTAAGTTTTCATTGCATGAACAAAAAAATTATTATATTAATGTAGCTTTTCATTGCATCAATGAAAAAAAATTAACGAAACCGGTTCATTGATAAAACGAAGCATTTTTCTTTCAGTGCACTCCGTAACAACGATATTCAGGGTCATATATCAAATACTGCTCAGAAATATCTATGCCAAATTTTATCGAGATCGGTTCAGATTTGTATATAGCTCCCATATATATCTTTATCCGATTTCAAGTTAATTGTGCACCAAATGAACAATACAAGCCCCAATTGAAAAGATACAAATTCTTCGGCAAAATTATAATCATAGTTTGCATGATTTAATTATTCCACAAAACTTTTAATTGTTATGTGAAGCTCTAATAAATATCCAAAGTGGTGTAGGGTATCATAAAGTCAGCCCCGCCCGACTTTAAGTCTTTCTTTTTCGTTACATAAACCAAAAATACAAGGCGAAAAAGCTTTATTGTGTTTGTCACTCACAGAAACAAACCTGCACTACAAAAACCCAAAATATATTTTCTTTCGCTAAAATTACAAACGAAAGGAAACAAGAATGTTGCAAAAACAGGCTGTAAGTTGTTATGTTATTTTTTTATTGTTAGCCTACTTAGCTAGATTCCGTCACACATTCCAAGCTTCATTGAAATTTGACATACATAGCGTGTTCGGAAAGAGCCACCAATCCTCATCAGTTCCCTTGTTTTTTGCCTGGGATATTCTCCCCGAGGTAATTTTAAAATAACTCCTATGACAAAAAACCTTTTTACCCAAGTGACAAGATCGTAGCTCAATAGAAGAGGATCCAAATAATTATATAAAACTAAAAAAAAACTAATTCTTTGAAAAATCTTCTAAATCTTACAACCGCCCTTATCAACATTTACATCTTTCTCCACTTGTTATGCTTTCGTTTTACCTCAACGAAAAAACATAACAATGTAAGTTGGTTTTGTCTGGTACAAAAAAAAAAAAATTTTTCCTCATTTCTGCCAAATTTCGTAAATTGCTCCCAATTTCATTGGAATCTGTCATACTTATCGTGTTTGATGCATAATATACATGTATCGGCCGAAAATATATATGGGGGCTATATCCAAATCAGAAATTTATGTTTGTTTCAAATTTCGTTACCCATTCTTAATTTCATTGAAATTAGAGATACATAGCGTGTTTGGTGCAACAAACACATGAAATCGGCCGAAATTATATGGGAGCTATATCCAAATCAGAACCGAATTAAACATAATTTGACAAATACATTTTTAGGCCAAACTCCATCTTACATTCCAAATTTCATTGCAATTGGGGGGTGTTTGGTGCATCAAATACAGGAAATCGTCCGAAAATATATATATGGGAGCTTTATCCAAGTCTGCACCGATTTCAATATAATTTGGCACCTAAATATTTTGACCAATTCCATTACACATTGCAATTGTTATTGAAATTTGACATACACAGCGTGTTTGATGCATCTAATACAGGAAATCGTCCGAAAATATATATGGGAGCTTTCTCCGATTTCAATATAATTCGGCATTAATTTGGCAAACTTATTTTTGTTCCAAATTGCGTAGCACATTCCAAATTTAGAGACTGTGTCTATAATCGATCAATAGATATGTGCATATAAAATCTAAATGTTTGGGAGGTACATCCGATTCTGATGCTTTATCTCCAGATCGAAGTGGCATTTCATACATAGCCTATATAACTTTCGGGCCATTTTGCAGTATATATGGAAAATTTCCGAAAAATCCTTTTAGCGGCTTTTGAGTCCATTAGTTACAAACAAAAATCAATCAAATATACAAACATTTTCATCTTTTATAGATATAGAAACGTGCCGGAGTTGGACTATACCGACCTTCACCTCATATGAGATATGTGATAATTTTTGGAAACTGTCAAAATAGGCGTGAGGTAAAAGATATATTGGACCAAATCATTCCACTTATGCTTACTTCGCATTTTAGGAGAGATATACATATTCAACATTTTGACCCTTTGTGAGGGAGGTACAAGAACGAATGGTCCGACATGATCCATCTTCACAACAGATCTTGTATTGATAGAAATATTGTGATATTCCCAGTTTGAAAAGGATGCAAATTTCGCGTTTTGGAGGAAGCACGAGTGGAGAAATAGTGGGATGTGTAAAATTTTAAGGCAATCGGACTCTTATTTTAAATTTTATAAGATTTATAATTATTCGAAATTATGACCTTTTTTGGGCGTGGTACTTGACGGAGTGGTTCGTCCATTTTCACACCTGACCTAGCACTGTGAATAATATTGGGATTTGCAAAGTTAGAAAGAACAGGATGATAATTTCTCATTCTTAACGGAAAAATATTTTCTTTGAAAATTTTGACCTTTTGTAGGAGAGGCACTAGAAGAAGTGGACAGATTTTTCCTATCTAAGTTTGACAATAATATTACGATGTACCAAGTTTTGAACCAAATAGGATGCTCCCTTCGAGAGTTATTATGCGCACCAGCCAGCCAGACGGACATCCCTAGATCGAGTCCAAATGTCCTGCAAAGGATTTGGTCCAAAGAAACATTGGGTCTAAAACCGTTATTTCGATGAGGCACATTTTGGCCATATCATCAAATGATATATAGACATATGACGACAGAGGGTATAAAAATATGGTAATAAAAGTATATATCGCAAGGCATCGGAGACTGGCTGTATGCAGGTAACAGTGAAAAATTGACAACTGTCAAAAAGCTGCATAAAATTTAATGTCGTTTTGGCCATATCCGTCCGTCTGTGTAATTCACATTAGCTCCGAACAAAATGAAGCATGTTAATAAAATGTTGCTCATATGTATTTGTGGTCCGTGGAATTGGGTCACATAGATTCATTTTTATGTTATGATTTGCAAGCGAATTCGCTGTAAATTGAGAATATTCTCAGTATGTACTGAACATCCTCGCAAATAATTGTCCATATAGATACAGGTTTTGGTGTAGACCTCATATAACTGTAACTTCCAATGTTTCGTATTTCGATTATATGTCTCATTTTTTCACGTCTTCGCATAGCCCACATTGTTTAATGAAATTATTTCACATTTGTTATTTGTGATTCACAATGGATACCATTAGAAATTGCCATTACAACTCCCGGTTCCCATATAGACCGATATAAAGATCATATTATCATTTGAAATTTGGTATAACAGAAAAAATATACCGCTGGAATACTAGATATTAGCACTTATAGACATATTTTCAAACGGTTCGGCCCGATTCTGGACTTGTTATATTTTCTAACTTTGAAATAATTTCAAATTATTTTCATTCAAAACCATTCATGCATACACACTAACAAAATGTGTATATGTTTTGACAGAATTAAGTAGGTAGCTTTGTTCTAACTCCTGTGATTATGTATTACCATGACATAATCACATTTTGATTATAACTGAATTTGAATATTTTCACAACAATTTTCATATAATTGAAAAGAGTACACACATGCACAAATTAATCCAACATGTATCAATTTGATATGTCAAAAAATTCTTGTAATTTGAATTCGCCTTCATTTACACATAAGAAAATTGTTGCATGATTTCAAGCTTTAACAATGCTATTGATAGAAAATAGAGATTTTACGTTTTTATAGAGCATGAGGGAAAAAGTGTATATTCAACATATCGTAGGCATAGGTAATATGGAGATCTAAAATTCGTGGATATTTGAAATAAGTGAAGCAGGGAATCAATTTCATATAGGAGATAAACCGATACACGGAATTTCATCATCTTATTTGTACGGGCTTCAACAGTGAAAGGTGAATGATTCCAAATCTTAATTCAATATTTTGATTGGAAAAACAATTTGCCCCAAATTTTGTACTTCAAATCAATTCGCTCTAACTACAACTTTGACATATCAAGTTTCCAAAAAAGTTGCTTTGTTGTAATTTTCGCCTATGTTGCTACCTGGTATTTCTACCATGGTTTGAGCGATTTGAAAATTTTGATAAGGCAACTGAGAGTTAATCGAGAAAATTGGTGTAAGTCTACGTTTTTACGCTCTATCAGAGCACGGATATTGTTAAACATTTTCCATGATTCTGCTGAAAATACGACTAAAACGTTAGCTGAAACGTAGCTACACCAAAATGATCCTTAGTTGACATTATTTTAAGACATAAGAATCGAACTCCTAGATGTCCTCATAAAACAATTAACATTATATGGCTTGAATATTTTAAACAAATGACCAGAGTGAAATCGAAGTACGATTTTATTTAGGATTCCATATCCATTAGCCACACACAAGTTTCTACCAATACAAAGACCCTAGAATCCTGGATAGAATTCAACAATCTCCAAAGACTTTCTTTGAATTTTTATGTGAATCGCACAAATCGAGTTGAGTAGTTTGCCAAAATTGTGATTGCACCAAATATGCCTTATTTGGAGGGTAACTAGCCGCAATTAGATTTGTTTTTTGTCCGGGCGGCCAGAATTTTGTCACAAAGCCGAAACCAAATTTCACAACACACATCACAACGACCATTGATAACTGATCTACAAGAGAGATATGTAAAATAAGTTTACAATGAGCTTAAGATATCCATGCACATTAGTACCTGGGGAAGTCGAATAACATTTTTCCCACATTTATATCCGATTTGGAGATTGCTTACTATGATAAAAATGATACGCACAACGTTGATAGAGTTAACTAAAATCTTCTATGACAATTCGCAAAATCTTACAAGTTCTATGCAAAACTAAAATGTTTACAATTTCAATAAAAGAAAACAAAATTGTTTGTATTTCAAAATGTAATTTTCTGATTGGTGCAAACCAATTTGCCTCAAATTTTATATGTCAAGTAAATTCGCTTTGCTTATAAATTTGACATATCAAGTTTCCAAAAAAGTTGCTTTGTTGTAATATTCGCCTATGTTGCTACCTGGTATTTCTACCATGCTCCTGTGATTATGTATTCCCATGACATAATCACATTTTGATTACAACTGAATTTGAATATTTTCACAACAATTTTCATATAATTGAAAAGAGTACACACATGCACAAATTAATCCAACATGTTAAGCCAGGCAATCAAAAAAAATGAAATAAAATCGATTGGAAGCAGTGCCCATGGCACAATTACAGAAGGTAGAATAAAGCTAAGCCCTAAATACAATTTTTTTCTTTTGGTGCTCTTATTCTGTCAAAACACATACACATTTTGAATAAAAAAACAATAATTTTAAATTATTTCACATGTGATCCAACTGTATTGTCCTACAATTTAAGATTCAATCTTGTGGAATAAGCCTAAAATTCCATTCTTGTTTCGCGGGTGTTCCTCAACATAAGAGTTTTGTTGAAAAAAAAAAATAAATAAATTGAAAATAAACAAAACCAACTGTTGCATATTTAAAAGACTATTTGGTATAATAAAACTCCAGCTTAGAATTGCATTTTATAGTTTCTTTGAAGTTGAGCAACCATCCTTATTGAGCCATTGATTTGTAGATGCCACGTTATCATTCATGATGGAAGTCAATGCTGCCAGTCAATTTATGGAATTATCTTGAAAAAAATATATTCAGACACCGTACTTTCGCTCCGTTTTACGTTTTACGTTTTTTTTTTTTTTTTTTTTTTTTTCAAAAAATATCACTTATGTGGGCTATACGAAGACATGGACCTGCATAGACAATTTTCTGGCATGGGTTGAAGGACTCATTACGAGCTTTATACTTTAAATACGAAATTTTAAACAATTCCGGTCTAAAAAGGTCGCTAAAATCGTCAAAATACCGAATATCGGGGGTATTGTTATATGGGGACCATACGATATCGTGGACCGATATAGCCCACCTCCGAACTTGACCTGCCTGTATACAAAAGACTAATCAAGAATACTTTGTTAGGTCTAAAATTATTATTTGGAAGAGTTACAAACGGAATGACGAACTTAATATACCCTCCATGTTATGTATGGTGGAGGACAGAAAAAACGAAGATGTTTGCCTAGAATTGATTTGACACTGCCTAGTTAGTGTTCACACTATGAGATTTGAGATGCCACAATGACAATGGCTTAAAATATAAACTGATATTATTGAACATAATAACTCCCAAGACTACAGTCCCCAGTGTTAACTATGACGTGAATTTCAAAGCTTTTAACCGCGATTTAGTCAACAACATTCAAGGCGATATGTCGTTCTCCTATAAATTCCAGCCGAATTGAAAAATGTAAAAAATTTCATAAAAATAAGGAATATCAGGATGTTAACTCATTTGCAACCATGCCAACCATCCTAGACACAATACAAACTATTGTGCTAAATTTTAAAACTCTATGTCAAATCATGGGGGCTGATAGAAAGATGGACACCATTAAATCAACATAGAATTGTATGCTGTTCATGAATATATATACTTTATGGGATCTAAGAAGGATATTTAGAGATGTCACAAACGGAATGACAAATTTAAAAGGTGGAAAATAAATAAGATCGCTCAATATTAAATGTATAATGTAACAGAGGAATTACATTGAAATAAAGGGTGTCCCAACTGGAACACAATTTTCAAAACTTAAATAAAACACATATACTAAAAAAAGTCTTATAACTTTATTATATTGTAAAGTAGGCATGATGTGGTTATGTATGGCAAGATATCGTGCAGATAGTCGCCGCGACTTTGCTGGCACAGACGCCTGTATGACATGTGGCGCTGTTTTGTTTATACCACATGTCATCCACATTAATTTCTTCAATACTAGGTAAGAACAAGTAAAAAAGCTGTAAGTTCGGCCAGGCCGAAATATGAATACCCTCCACCACTTGGAACGAATTTGGCAATTCTCAAAAACAATAAAATCCGTTAAAAATTCTGTTAAAATCTTAGAAATACCGAATGTAGCTGTTATATTATGGTCAATACAACGACATGGACCTGCATAGATAACTTTTGTCATAAGCCATTACAATATTCAAATGCGAAACTTAGAAAAAAAGTCGGTGAATTTCGAAACAATTCCGGTAAATAGTGTCGCTAAAATCATCAAAATACCGCATATCGGGAGGTACCGTTATAATGGGGCTATATGAAGACGTGAACCTATATGGCCCATTTTCAATACATTTGTGGGGTCTAAAATATGTTACAAACGGAATGATAAACCTAATATACCCTCCATACTATGGTGGAGGGTATAAAAAACTGGTTATCATTTCACGATACCGAACATCATTGACTGTTTTCGATTGACCAGCCTAATTTTTATAAATAAAAGTTCAGTGATTCCTTCGGCCCAAAAACCACGCTACATAGCGACAAGTTGAAAATGCACTTGCTTCTCGTGAATTTCTCAAGGATTTTTTTTGAAATGTTTTTTGTTTTTTTTCAAAAATAAATATATTTTTATATGTTTTGTTATACGATGTTAATCGGAGATTATTATGATACTCATTTTTCAACAATTTTTACGAATTTTAATAACTTTTCATTCAAATTTTTAAATTTCAAATTTTGTGCGATTACGATGCGACTGTATTCTTTTACCATCGCTTGTACCTCCTACTAGCAAACAATAACAATTGTTCAAATGTCAAACAATGACACTTCGGATGGCGCCAAATTTAAAAATTGCGTCCTACTTGGGAGACCCTTTACATTTAACCGATGATTTTCTATTTTAAATATTACTTCTATTCATTTTCATATTTTATAAAGAACCAACACTGATTTCAAATTTAAAATGTTGCGATATAAAATAAAAGTAAATATTTTTAGAAATAATCTTCTGCATTATATATTTAATGATCCAAATTCAAAAAATTTACATTTTTGAAATTAAAATAATTTATTGAAAACTAATTGTTTTCTATACATTTTTGGACATACTATATAACAGTGACACTTGTATTACGTACAAAAACAAATTTTTATGTGGTTGTTGTTACGTTTGTTGTACAATAACACTGTAACCTGTATTATTGTACCGTGATTTAAGCTGGGAATACATAAAGCGCTTATTTGGCTGGCTTAAGTCATCGGCTGGCTTCTTCGGAAATGAACAAAGGAGCCTAGGGCCAAAATCGAACTAGGTCAACCTAAAACTCCTTTGTTCATTTACGAAGAAGCCAGCCGATGACTTAAGCCAGCCAAATATGCCCTTTATGTATTTCCAGCCTTATTTCGTGGATTACAGTATGTTTACATATAAACGTGTTAAACTACTGGACTTGGATTAAAATTCACATATCCATTGCCTAAGATTCAAATAAATCCTCTTAAAGTAAAAAAGTTCTAACATAAACGTGTCATTAGATAGAACCAACATTGAACCCACCCTAAATCAGCCCTGCTCAAAACCCGAAAAATGACCGGAATAAGAGATAATTAAAATTCTGTACTTCTTTATAGTTACGAGTCCATTGAATTGTTTTTAAATATGAATGTTTGACGAAATAATTTATAAAGTAAATGGATCAAAAATATTTGTATAAATAATGACTTAACACTGTTTTGTTCTTGATTTAAATAAGCAAAGAGTGATTTGACTGAAAAGAGATATTTTTTCTTGAGCAGCGCTGCCCTAAATTAATAGCAGACATTAGGTGTGTCTGGTTACTTTTCTTGCAGGAATTGTCCAGCAACTTCATTCAGAAAGAGTAAGGTAGTTTTATTCTCTTTTGCAAAAAGCTGTAAACAGACGGAATCACTCCAAAAACTCGCAGGCAATCAGCTGGTTTGTCAAAACAAAGCAAATAGTGTGTCATAAACAGAGATTAATCATGCAGAAATTAAAAATAAGCCAAAAAAACAAAACAATTGGGTTTGCGATTTCCAACATAAATATGTTTTTAAATCCGTATTGTCCATATATGAATCACCGGAAGGTGAAGAAGAAGAGTTGCAAGTGATTCGAGAAGAAATTTGTTCTGCAAGAATTTGCAAACTCTCAGTGAATGAACTATTCTCTCAAATCGCTATCTTTTGCAGATATTTTATGTCAACAGGCGGTAACCAGACACACCTATTATTAAATCAACATTGCAGACTTTAAAAAAAATTTTATAGCGTTTTGGTTCACTTTTCAGTAGTTTGTGAAAATCGTGTTTTGTGGACGCTTGGAAAAATGTCATTGAAACTAAGTTTAGTTAATGGTATAGACATTGTGATCGAAGTTTTCCCTTACTAAAAAGGTACGTGAATAAAAATTTCACATTGATTCAATTTTCAATCAATTCAATTTTAAATTCAAAGAGAAGTCAATATTAATTCACCATTTATTTGATATTTGTTCAACGCCGAACAATGTAAATGTAATTTGTTTCCATATTAAAACTTAGCATTTTAAAATCAATATTGCTCATTGCTTCAAAAGAAGAATTTTCTACATTGCTTGACTTGACAGTATCATTCATTATCATCTTGATTCGACATAGGTTTTCTTGATTTTAAGTTGTTTTTTTTTCTCTGGTTGTATATATTTTTATGGATATTAGATGACCTCAGCATCACTATAACCTACATAGGTGTAACCTTCTTCAATTTCGTCGAGAGCACATACAGATAAAAAAATTAAAAAAAATATCCATGTTTTAGCCAAGTAATTCCAAATTATTTGACAAAAAGCCCTTACCTGAGATAAACATAACTCATTTTGTGAAAAACGCTAGAGTAACTTATTTTACCGATTCTTAATGACAATAATATAATCCTACATACCTAAAAATAAACAAACTATATCCAGAAAATAACAAAAAGTACTATTTATTCGAAATAAGAAAAAATATTTGCTTTTAGGGGATTAATTCATTTTTTGGATATATACAATTTACTTTAAAGCCAAAATTTGTTTCCGTGAAAGCTGAAAATTAAAACTTCTACCTTTGGGCAGATGCAAAGTCGTCCGGAAGAAACCAGACTCTTTGACAAATTGCTATTTTAGTAAAAAGCATCGAGTGAGCTTTATGACCTCAGTGGTCAATATTTTGTGCATTTTTGACATTGGACGTTTTGTGGGGTAACTGTTAAACAGTCGGCAGGACGACATTATTAAACAAATCGCTTTTGTTATCGCACTAATTTACTGAACAGACTATATAATATGGAGGAAATTTCAGACATTGTTGGTCTAAATTTGTTAGGACTTCCTCAACAAAACCATCACACCAAGATAGCATAGCAATGGATTTCCACAAATAATAAAAATAAAAAGTTAAGAAAATAGCACATTATTAAACAAAACCAGACCAATCTAAACGCAAAACTCGAGTCTACTCAAAACGGTAATGGCTCGATCATCAGGAAACCGAAACCGAAACACAAACATAAATTAATTGCGAACGGAACCAATGCCTGTACTAGCTCATGGACATAGGCTCACACATTTGCTTAGGCTTTTCTTTTAAACGCTGTGCTAATTTTATTTCATCGCCACGCACACCACCAATGCCGATAAATTGGTTGATATAAACACTAGTCCTAAATAGATTCGCTGGTGTTGTTGAGGAAGCAGCAGATTCATTCAAGCATAAGGTGCCGGGATGGGCACAGTTTGTTATTGACTTTTATCATCGAACGTCATATAGAGATGTCGAGTCAGAAATTAAAATTAAACCAATAAGGAAAGAAAAAAGTCGGGAGATGCCGGCTTTATGATACCCAGCACTACTTTAACTATTTTATAAAGTCTCGTGTAGCAAATAAGCGTTCATATTGGCAATTTTAAATTTGAAATAGGTCAAAACTAGTCTATAGAAGCTAGATCTTAATCGATTTCCATCAAACTTGACTGAGGTAAATTTAGGTTATCGAGCCAAATATCGATGCTATGGAGTGCATATTATGACTTTCAGAATACCTAGATACAAAATCGGATGAAACTACTTTCTTTTTTTCTTTGACAAAAAGTAGCGTCCTTGATATATTATTGACATCAAATTAGAGAGAAATATATATGAGAGACAAATCCAAATCTGAACCGATCTCGACAAAACTTTGGGAAAGGTATTTTAGGATGTACCCAATATCTTGTACCGGAAATCCTTGTTATGGAGTGTATTATACAGATTTGGTTGAATTAGATAGAAAATCGGCTGATATATATATATATATATATATATATATATATATATATATATATATATATATATATATATATATATATACTAGCTGGCCCGGTCCGCGTTGCCGGCCCGTAGTTTTTGTCTATTATGCATATATTCCCAAGCATAATTATTCACAGATATGACTGATATAAGTGTTCACGTACAGGTCGATTTAAAGTGTTTTAAAATACCTGTACCCATTTTTAACCAGTGGGCTTCAATATTTAAACCGTGGGCTTCAACTGTGTGGATGTGCTATACAAATCTATTAAAAAGTATATATCAATCTTATCGCCATATAAGGGATCAAATTAATTTTTAATATGGTAAAAATCGTAGCAAAATCTTCCAGTCAAATGAGCAGTAATTTGGAATTTGCTGTATTTTGTATACTACATAATTGAGGGCTGAATGATTTAAGAATAGCCAAAGTTAATTACTTTTTTAATCCCATTAGCAACTTAGATTGTGCATTAGAGTCCTCATAAGTCCCCCTAACCATGTCAGTCTGTTTGTCCGCCAAAGGTGGACTTGAGAGGGTATTATAACATGGATAAAAATTCTAAAATTTGTAGATATGTTGAAATTTTAGTGTAAGATTTTCACACCCCTAATACGCATTATTAGCCAAATTCTTTGAAATGTGGTTAAATTAGGAGGTACCTTCTTTATATGGGCACTACTCCGAAACATCGACCTACATTGAAAACTTTCTTCTACCCCTTATAATCCAAGATGACAAATAGAGGCCAAATCGAAAATATAGCAGAACAATATAGCATGTCATAGCATTTCGCGTGATTTAAATAAGTAAAAATAGTTTTATCCACCTCATAATTGAGGGCAGAATGATAAGATGGGAATTAATTTTATTTGCCATTTAAATTGTAAGTTGGAGACCCCTTAAAGTCCATATTTTAATCATAGGATAATTCAATGATGATTAAACAAATATTCGGTCCCGTGCTACTTTCTTATATTTGTAATTTGTTCATGTTTCCACAATTTATTTCATATGGATGCACATCCCAAATCTACGTTCCCAACCAATATTCTCTTGGGGGTTAAAAATTCAATAGAATACAAAATTTTCTTTTCTGACCACACATTAGATGTGAAAGTGGACTTGGGGATACTCCAATGTGGGGACTTTACTTAAATAAATTCCTATGTGGCAATTATCTGTATGATGGTTCCCTACCCCAGGGTGGCATAAATAAAATTTTTTAGCCAAATCAATTGATGAATGTGGTCAATACCAATATGGGCCCTACTCTGAAAATTTCAAATTTTATGCGAAGAGGTTATCTACCCCCTTAGAAACAAAAATGTCAAATAAGGGCCAAAAAATGAAAAAAGTGGCCGGCCAAGACCCCAAAAATAACTTAAATCATAGATGGTTATATAAATATGAAATCGGGTTGTTCCCTTATCCATGAGTTATGATCGATATAATGACCTGCAAAAGTGATTTTAGGTATTTTGAATGTTTGGGAAGAATTTCTGGAAGGATATAAAACCTTTTCTTACTAAAAGTCCCATTCGCTCTACTATTTTGCACCTTTTATTTCAATATTGGTATATTACTTATTATTCTCCCAAAGAATTTTGCATTTTGAGCTCTCATTGGACGGAT